TGCAAACGCAGGGCCCTTTCATGAAGAAATAGATACAACTGACTTTTCTGAGTTAAGGTCTGGCGTCTCTCAAGGGTAGTAGCAGACAGGACTACCCCTGGACTGTCTTGGCCAGTCAGTCCCCCCAGACAGTCCCCAGGACTGGCTTGGCCATGCCAGTGGCTTCAAGGTGTCATGTGCTATGATTGGCATGTGAAGAATAGTTTTAGAGCATCATGGAAAATTAAGTAGTCATGAAGTAGATGCATCCTAGCATTAGGAGCAAAGACTGACCACTTGCCAGTTGTGTGAACTTGGGCAAGAGCTTCAGCTTCATCTACAGATGGAATTTATTGATATTCTATCTGCCTTATCAGTTTCCCCCTGTGAGGCCTGAATGAGCTAATGCAGGAAACGTGCTTAGCAAATCACGAGAAGCAGCAATTGTTATTAATGTAAAGAGCTCCTGTTAATCCCTCCCTCTGTTTAGACATTCCTTGCTGTAAATTTATTTTCCAACTGATTTCAGGATCATGTTCCCTTTGGGGGCATCTGACGGTCAAGTTTGAGGGGGAAAAAATGCATTAAAGGGATGTGGATGAAAATCTGATCAATCTTGATTAAAAATAAAAGCAGACTTTGCCATGTATTCATGTGATGTCCTGCACTAGCAGTGACACTTTGTTAGGGTAGTAGAGTTCATGGAAGTAAGCTAAGTATTGATTAGTAATTTAAATGTCAAAGAATTAAGCCTGCAGTGGAGCAGGCGGTGCAAGCAGTTTTGTTTGGTTGTAAAAATGCCAACATTCCTGAAACAGTGAGCTCATCATCAAATTCCTCTTCCACGCCCACAAAAGAATCTATGCTTGTTTGCTCGATTTTGTTTTGGTTTTCTGGGCAACTAAGAATGAAATAGGGCAGTGATTCTCAAACAAGTTAGAGCATTAAAATCCTCTGGAGGGCTTGTGAAACCCTGAATCTTCGCACCGGAGTTGTTGATTCAGTAAGACGGGGGTGGGGCCTGAGGGTTTGCATTTCTACTAAGTTCCCAGGCGAGGCTGATGCTGCTGATCCAGGAACTGCACTTTGAGAACCATTAATATGGAATGTCCTGAGGCCTTACAACGTGGTGGAGACCTCAGGGCGATTTAGTCACCAGGAAGTGGGTTCAAATTCAGGGGCTGTCCTTAGTAGCAGAGAGCAGAGTTATGTCAAGCAAATAATCTCTCTGAGATCCAGTTTCTTCTGTTTTTAAATGGAAATGATACAGCCTTCCCCCTTCCCCTTGTTAGGGTCATCAGAAAACTTAAAGATGTCTGTGAAGAACTTTGTTCCCTGCCTCACATGCATTAATTTAAGAGTCCATTAATTTCTTTTACTGTAAGCTATTTTTTCATAAGTCATGTATTTATTTCTGAGTGTTTGGGGCCAGAAAGTCTGTCGGGTGAATATACTGTTCATTTAAATGACTGAAGCAGTTTGAAAGATTTCAGTTAAGGTTCCATTTCAGAATTCCCATGTCATTTTTCACACTGGTGTGTGTGTGTGTGTGTGTAGTTTTTTCCTTTTAATTAAATTAGTTTCTTCCCATTAAATTCTTATAGAGTAGCAAGTTGAATAATGGATTGGGAATTTCATCCTTCTCTAGTTTGTGCATTGGAATTTCAGCATATTTTCATGTGTTGGTAGCAGAGGGCAGTGAAAAGGTCACAGCTGGAATGAAAACCCTGAGTTTTCATAATTCATGGACAATTAGAGTCTGACTGAACTTTGTCTTTTTATTCAAAAGCAACCATGTGAGTATCTCCCTGAACAGAAGCACCAGTTGCTGTTCAGTCGATCTGTCATGTCCGACTCTTTAGGACCCCATGGACTGCAGCACGCCAGGCTTCCCTGTCCTTCACCATCTCCTGGAGCTTGCTCAAACTCATGTCCATTGAGTCATGATGCCATCCAACCATCTCATCCTCTGTCGTCCCCTTCTCCTCCTGCCTTCAGTCTCTCCCAGCATCAGGGTCTTTTCCAATGAGTCACTTCTTCGCATCAGGTGGCCAAAGTATTGGAGCTTCAGCTTCAGCATCAGTCCCTGCAGTGAATATTCAGGATTGATTTCCTTTAGGATTGACTGGTTTCATCTCCTAGTTGTCCAAGGGACTCTCAAGCTTCTAAAATATGCAGTGCCTAACACCTCATTTCTAAAGACCATTATTTCATATGTCTAGAGTAGGGCCTGGTCATATGCATTTTAATCAATGAAAAATTAATCATTCGATCTATGAAAGAAGTGGAAAATTTTATTCAAGCCAGATTGAGGATTATGACCTGGGAAGAGCCTCTCAGAAAGCTTCAAGGACTGTTCTGCCCACTAGAAGTCAAAGCACAGGTGTGTTAAGTTTTTTGAAACAGAGAGCTGTTCCTTAAATGACGTATTATTGACAGTTCACACAGTCCTCCTTGGCAGGTACAAAGTGTTGCATCACCGTGACCTCTTCCAAGATCAAGGCGAAGAATGTTATCTTTAAGGAGTTGTCATGTTGGTATTGGGAGAATGTTGCTCTTTATGGCTGAGCAGGTATTCCTGCCAATGGGCAAGGCCTGTTCTATGCATAATGAATTTACACAGTGCACAGTGTTGGGGAGACAGGAGGCCAAAGGGCAGAGAAATTTTTATGTGTAAATTTTACTTGTCTTGCCATAAAATGTGAATTTTATTTCACAGAAGAATCAGCCCAGGTGGTGCAAAGACTGCATTTTAAGACAGACAAGGCAGGGGCTGCAATGGTCAAGACAGATTTCGGATTCAGATTCTGCTGCTTAACTAGCTATGTGGACTTGAGCACATTCTCCAATCTTCTTTCCCCCCCACCTCTATTTGGCTGTTTATTTTTTAATTTATTTTTTAAATTAATCTTTATTGGAGTATGGTTGCTTTACAATGTTGTGTGACTTTCTCCTGTATAGCAAAGTGAAACAGCCATACATAAACGTGAAAAGCGAGAGTGTTAGTTGCTCGGTCGTGTCCGACTTTTTTCGACCTCATGGACTGTAGCCAGCCAGGCTCCTCTGTCCATGGAATTCTCCAGAATACTGGAGTGGGCTGCCATTCCCTTCTCCAGGGGATCTTCCCGACCTGGAGATCGAACCCGTGTCTCCTGCATTGCAGGCAGGCTTTCTGAGCCACCAGGGATCCCCTCTTTTCTGGATTTCCTTCCCATTTATTAATAGGTCACCACAGAGCACTGAACAGAGTTCCCTGAGCTATACAGTAGGTTCTCATTATCTCCACTTTCTTAATTCTTGGTCTCTCGTATGTGACATGGGTCATTCTTATTCACTGGGGCCATTAGACAGATTATATAGTTCATGGATTTTAAAAATGTCTGGCATAGTGCCAGTCACAAAGCCCTCAAAAGCTCCAGTGTTGTGATGGTTCTCCTAAAATGCCACACAGGAAAGGTGGACAGATAAGATAAACACAAAAGTTCACAAATGACTAGAACGGAAATGAAGTCAACCGGCTGTGTGTTAATCCGTAAAATATATATTAAGTCTTGAAGAAAGAGAATTCTCCAAAGATTATGTTGAAGTGACTGATTCCTTACAGGTGGTGTAGATTGGGAACATTTGCAACTAGTTTCTAACTTGGTATAATCACTTTCAAAAGATTTTTATTTATTTATTTGACTGCCCTGGGTCTTCATTGCCACGCGGGCTTTCTCTAGTTGCAGTGCTCAGACTTCTCATTGCACTGGCTTCCCCTGTTGTGGAACACAGGCTCTAGGCCCACAAACTTCAATAATTATGGCTCATAGGCTCTAGAATGCAAGATCAGTGTGTGTGGCCCATGGGTTTATTTGCTCCATAGCCTGTGGAATTTTTCCGGATCAGGATCCAATCTGTGTCCCCTGGATTGGCTGGCAGATTCTTACCCTCTATACCAGCAGGGAAATCCTGTACTTACTTTTTTAGTATCAAAACTCTATTTTGGACACCTTAAGGTAAAATGATGTTGGATTGTGTTGAAACAAATTATTCAGTCAAATCTATTGAATCAGCGGACTATCACTTTTTACTGTCAGTACATCAATTTTCCATTCACTTTCACATGACAAGATAATGTCCTTTTCATGAAAATACTAAACACTTCAGGAGATCCTAAATGAAGCCATCGTAACACAAGACAACAGAGCCAGTATTATTCAGTAATAGGATGGGAAGATCAGTTTAGAAAGAAAGCAGTATTATTATAGACAGATTTTTATTCAGAGATTTAAGAAATGCCATGGAAGTGCATGTTTACTTGGATTTTTCTCAATTTCTCTTAAGCAGTTTTAAGAAATTTTATTCCTTCTGTAGAATAGTCTTTCCCAGCTTACTGGCAAATTTTTAAATTATGTGCTTGAAATTAGTATTATGGCATGTTTTCATTTCCATGCTGTTCCTGAAGACCTCTGTCGGTGGAGCCTTCAGAAGAGAATTTATTCGCCACAATTGTACTTCCATTAAACAAAGCTTAAGAACAGACAGTCCTAATGGGGTTTTCATTTATGGATCCTTTGGGTAGGGTTCCCCAGGGAAGATGATCAACATTAATTAAAACATCTTGAGGCCTGTGAGCCACAATTACTTCTATGTGAGATGCAGTGAAGAGCTTTGAAGGATCCCATGAAAACAGAGGATGCAGGAAATTGCTGCTTTCTCATCACTTTCATGAAGATGCAGCTTTTAAGCAAATATTCTTCAGAGTTACCACAGTTGACATAATTCATTGCTCTAGGGAACAAATGTTTTATATTTTCAATTTGTTACACAGAAAAGGAGAGGCCTTTTATATGGGGTAGTTGTCATGTTGCCTGCATATCTAAGACTCAGGAGAGTCTTGAACCACCCCTGAAGTGATAAGAGGGTGTGCAAATTATGGGTTTGTTATGTGTTTCCAGTAGGCATATGGGAATATGCATATGTAATATAAGTAAAGATGTCACTTTGAATTAGTGGGACTGTTGGTTATTTCTTTCTAGGTTGGAAAGCGAGGGACAATAAGAGATTATCCTGGCTTTAATCCATCAGTGGATGCTGAAGTGATTCGTAAGGCCATCAGAGGAATCGGTGAGTAATGTTTTACAATTTCTTTCTTACTGTTGAAGCAGATCAGGAATTAAAGCTAAAAGTGCATAGGTTCAGGTTGCCCAAGTTGCTTTTTTTTACTTAATTAGAGAAATTGTAAGGCACTTCAAAAAATTGTGAAGAGGAAAAGTATAGGGAACCTAGTCTGTATGTGTGTGTGTGTGTGTGTATTTTTTTTTTTCCATGACAATCATATGAGGTGGAGACTTTTATTTTCTTTAGTTTACAGATGGGGGAACTGCAGCTCAGAGGTGTTGAGTCATTTTCCTAGGGTCGTACATGAGTGGCAGAGCTGGGATTCAAACCTATGATTGAAATATCAGGTTTCTTCCAGTGTACCTTGGTTTCACAACACCAGGAGAGTGTCAGTGGGGATAGGCAAGACCTTTAAGAGGTATTTAAATTTTTATTTATTTATTTTTATCTATGGCTGTGCTGGATCTTCACTGCTGCGCACTGGCTCTCTAGTTCTGGCCAACCAGGGCTACTGTCCAGTTGCGGTGGGAGGGCTCCTCACTAGAGTAGCTTCTCTTGTGGAGCACGGGCTCTAGGGCACATGGGCGTTAGTAGTTTTGGGGCATGTTTCCCTACGGCATGTGGGATCTTCCCAAACCAAGGATCGAACCAGTGACCCTGGCATTGCAAGGCGGATTCTTCACCACTGGACCAGCAGGGAAGTCCAGGAACCCAGTTTTATCCGATCTTAATATTTGCCATGTTTCAGTTCAGTTCAGTCGCTCAGTCATGTCTGACTCTTTGCGACCCCATGAACTGTAGCACACCAGGCCTCCCTGTCCATCACCAACTCCCGGGGTTTACCCAAACTCATGTCCGTTGAGGCCATCCAACCACCTCATCCTCTGTCGTCCCCTTCTCCTCCTGCCTTCAATCTTTCCTAACATCAGGGTCTTTTCAAATGAGTCAGCTCTTTGCATCAGGTAGCCAAATTATTGGAGTTTTAGCTTCAACATCAGTCCTTCCAATGAATACCCAGGACTGATTTCCTTTTTAGAATGGACTGGTTGGATCTCTTTGCAGTCCAAGGGATTTTCAAGAGTCTTCTCCAACACCACAGTTCAAAAGCATCAATTTTGTGCTCAGCTTTCTTTTTTTTTTTTTGGTCAGCTTTCTTTATAGTCCAACTCTCACAACCATACATGACTACTGGAAAAAACATACTTATTTACTACTATACACTACCATGGGCTTCCCGGGTGGTGCTAGTGGTGAAGAATCCGCCTGCCAATGTGGGACATGACTGAGCAACTAACACTTTCACTTCCAAACACTGCCATGGCCATCACTGCTGTCAACATTCATCATCATTATCACCATGAATCATTACAGATACAGTCCCTTCCGATTCTGTCTGGATTCATTCCCACCCTATTCTCTAGAGATAAACAGCATTCTAAATTAGAAATATATTTCCTGCAAATCAAAACCACAATGAGGTACCATTACACACCAGTCAGGATGGCTGCTATCCAAAAGTCTACAAGCAATAAATGCTGGAGAGGGTGTGGAGAAAAGGGAACCCTCTTACACTGTTGGTGGGAATGCAAATTAGTACAGCCACTATGGAAAACAGTGTGGAGATTTCTTAAAAAGCTGGAAATAGAACTGCCATATGACCCAGCAATCCCACTTCTGGGCATACACACCGAGGAAACCAGATCTGAAAGAGACACGTGTACCCCAATGTTCATCGCAGCACTGTTTATAATAGCCAGGACATGGAAGCAACCTAGATGCCCATCAGCAGATGAATGGATGAGGAAGCTGTGGTACATATACACCATGGAATATTACTCAGCCATTAAAAAGAATTCATTTGAATCAGTTCTAATGAGATGGATGAAACTGGAGCCCATTATACAGAGCGAAGTAAGCCTGAAAGATAAAGACCATTACAGTATACTAACACATATATATGGAATTTAGAAAGATGGTAATGATAACGCTATGTGCAAAACAGAAAAAGAGACTCCTATGTATAGAACAGACTTGTAGACTCTGGGAGAAGGCGAGGGTGGGATGTTTCAAGAGAACAGCATTGAAACACGTATATTATCTAGGGTGAAACAGTTCACCAGCCCAGGTTGGGTGCACGAGACAAGTGCTCGGGCCTGGTGCACTGGGAAGACCCAGAGGGATCGGGTGGAGAGGGAGGTGGGAGGGGGGACCGGGATGGGGAATACATGTAAAAAAAAAAAAAAAGATACACTATGGTTGTGATTAAAAAAAAAAAAAAAAAAAAGAAATATATTTCCATGAAACATTTAATTCTGTACTCTGTATGTATGTACATATTGTTTTGCATGGACTCAACAGTATAAATTGAAATCCTACTGTAGGTATCCTTCTGCAACTTGTTTTTTATCCCTTAACATTATGTTTTTGAGATTTATCCATGTTGATATGTTTAGCTCTAGTTCATTAATTTTAACTGCAGAGTAGTCTATTGAATTACTATGTCGTAAGATGGAAATAGTGATGGAACTTTTAAATTGCCTACAATTCTTTTCTATTACAGTGTAAAAGTACTGCACTGAATAGTTGTGCTTATGTCTTTTGTGAATGTTTGCTAGCATCTCTCTAGAATATAAATTTACTAGAAATTTGCCAAACTGCTCTCTCAAATGAATTTACAAATTAGCATTCCTACCAGCAATATGGCTTCCCAGGTGGCACAGCAGTAAGGAATCCGCCTGCCAATGCAAGAGACATGGGTTCCATCCCTGGGTCAGGAAGATCCCCTGGAGAAGGAAATGGCAACCCACTCCAGTTATCTTGCCTGGAAAATCCCATCGATAGAGTATCCTGGTGGGCTACAGTTCATGGGGTCACAAAGAGTCAGACACAGCTGAGTGATTGAGCGCATACAGCACCAGCAATGTATAAGACTTCTTCTTGCTCAGTATTCTCATCCCTACTTGTTATGGTCATCCAATAGAGTGGGTCTAAAATTGTACCTCATGCTATTTCCTTCCTCTTCCCCATCCCTCATTATTGATGCAGTTAAGCATCCTTTCTTGTTTATTGGCTTCCTTTCCCATGAATTACTCCTCCATACTTTTTATCCGTTTTTCAGTTGGGTTGTGTTCTTTGGCTTGGCAAGAAAAAAATATTTAATTTTTTTTTAAATAAATTCTGGGTATGAAACATTTTTTTTAATTACAAGCTATAAAAATATCTTTTCTCAGAATGTGATTTCCTTTTCACATTGCCTACAGTAACTTTAATCAAATAAAAGTTTTAAATTTTAGTGAAATTAACTTTACCAATATTTTTTTGTAATAACTTATACTTACTTACTGTGTCTTTTCTGTGGTGAGCACATAAAGATACCTTGCTGTATTTTCTCCCCCCAGATTTTACATTCTTATTTTTCACATTGAGATCTTTAATCTGCCTGGAATTAATGTTTGTGAATGGCATTTAAATCTAATTTGATTTTATGTGGCTATGCAGTTGTCCCAGTGCAATCGATTGAAGCATTCATCCTTTCCCCAATGATTTGTAATGCCACCACTGTTTCATAAGCTTCGCTATTTTTCTGCTCTCTGTTACATTCCATTGGTCTGTTTGCCTCTCCGTGTCTCTATACAACATTGTCACAACTACTATTATTATTTTATAGTGACACTAGTGTCTAGTAAGGCAAGAGTTTTTCTTCTTGGCTCTTTGCCCTCTTCTATAAATTTTAGGGTCAGTTTGTCAAGTTTCATGAATTATACTCTTTAAGATTTTATATCAGTTTAATATTATTGTATTTCTGCCTGTTTAGGTTTTTTTTTTTTCTATTTTTAAAGGAAAGTTATTTCTTTATCTACCTCTTTGTTTCCCTATTTACACACAGTGTTGAATAGACTTTTCCATGAGGCTGTTGTCAAACTGAATGAATTAATGGTCTTTAAATTCTCTCTGTTGTCTTTCTTCCTTTCCATTAAGTTTCTTCACAGATTTGCAGTCCCACTCTGAGGAGACTTTCGTTTGTAAGCACCACTCCCAACACCAAAACCAGGTGTCAAGGTGGCATTTGCCTTAGGGATGTGTGAGATCCAGCCTCTGAACCATGAGGCATCTTGGTTTAATTTCTGGTCTTGAGCATTTGCAGAAATAAGAGAGGAGAAATTGCCTGATGTACAACCTACATGTGATTGTGGGTGGTTAGTTCTATCTGGAATCTAGGGGCATAAGGTATAGAGATGGAGAGAAGGGGGGTGGGAAATTAGAACAAAGATGTGAGGCAAAAGCTGGCGCTGGAGGTTTAGTCGCTAAGTCATGTCTGACTCTTGCGACCCCATGGACGGAGGAGCCTGGCAGGCTGCAGTCCATGGGATTCTCCAGGCAAGAATACTCAAATGGGTTGCCATTTCCTTCTCCAGGGGATCTTCCCAACCCAGGAATCAAACCCAGGTCTCCTGCATTGTAGGCAGATTCATTACCAACTAAGCTACAAGGGAAGCCCAAGCTAGGTCCTAAGAAACTGGCACACAAGCTGAGGAGCTTAAGCTTCATCCTGAAGATTACAGAGACTCTTTAGGATTTCTATCAAGGAACTGACATGATCTGATGTGTTTAAAAAATTTACTTAGGCAGAACTATACAGTATGAATTATAATGGGATCAAGTTAGGAGACTATTGAAGTTTCCAGGTAAAATATGATGAATGCACAGTAGCATAAAAGAGGACAAATTCAAGACATTCAGATGATTGCTACAATGTAAAGAGGAGGGAAAAGAAAGGAGTATAGGATGGCTGGAGAATCTTTGCTTGGATGACTGTATCTATAGTGGTATCATTGACTAGGGAACATCGAATGAAAGACAAGTTGGAGAGGAAATAGAATAGAATGCATAGAATAGAATACAATCCAGTGGAATGAATCCAAATGGAATCCAAATAGAATGAATGCGTTCTGGAGCAGCTGAGTTTGAGATACTTGTAGTTAGAGGTGTTCAGTCATGCACCAGTCCAGATGCCATGACAGGTCCGAGTTGATAATCAGATTCAGAGCACAACGAGGATTTAATCTAACTCTGTTTCCTTAACTATACAGAAGAATACAAAACCAGAGATCCACTGGGGCAGCATCTTTCACTGGGAGGCCCAGCAGCTAGTCAAATACAGTTCCTTTTGCCCCATCATTCATGTAGAGTGTGCACCACTGCCATGGACGAATGGAACCAAGGCGTGTGTGGATCACTCAACATGGGAAAGATGAGCCTAGAGTTCCAACTGACCTTTTATACAATTAGAGTCAACTCACAGCCTCCAACCCAGGGGGAGTCCTCTACCACAAAGGAGTAGGCACAACTTCCAACAATATCTTAGTACTGTAATTACTAAGAAAATGGTGACGTAGAGGTCATTTTCATGCAGGCACGCATCAACCCTTTCAGTTCAGTTCATTCGCTCAGTCGTATCTGATTCTGCGACTCCATGGACTTCAGCAAGCCAGGTTGCCCTGTCCATCACCAACTCCCAGAGCCTACTCAAACTCATGTCCATCGAGTCGGTGATGCCATCCAACCAGCTCACCTTCTGTTGTCCCCTTCTCCTCCTGCCTTCAATCTTTCCCAGCATCAGGGTCTTTTCCAGTGAGTCAGTTCTTCGCATGATGGGGCCAAAGTATTGGAGTTTCAGCTTCAGCATCAGTCCTTCCAAAGAATATTCAGGACTGATTTCCTTTAGGATGGACTGGTTGAATCTCCTTGCAGTCCATGGGACTTTCAAGAGTCTTCTCCAACACCACAGTTCAAAAGCATCAGTTCTTGGGTGCTCAGCTTTCTTTATAGTTCAGCTCTCACACCCATACATGACTACTGGAAAAACCAAAGCTTTGACTAAATAGACCTTTGTTGGCAAAGTAATGTCTCTGCTTTTTAATATGCTGTCTAGGTTGGTCATAACTTTTCTTCCAAGGAGCAAGCGTCTTTTAATTTCATGGCTGCAGTCACCATCTGCAGTGATTTTGGAGCCCCAAAAAATAAAGTCTGTCACTGTTTCCACTGTTTCCCCATCTATTTGCCATGAAGTAATGGGACCAGATGTCATGATCTTAGTTTTCTAAATGTTGAATTTTAAGCCAACTTTTTCACTCTCCTCTTTCACTTTCATCAAGAGGCTCTTAAGTTCTTCTTCACTGTCTGCCATAAGTGTGGTGTCATCTGCATATCTGAAGTTATTGATATTTCTGCCAACAATGTTGATTCCAGCTTGTGCTTCTCCAGTCCAGCGTTTCTCATGATATACTCTACATATAAGTTAAATAAGCAGGGTGACAATATACAGCCTTGACGTACTCCTTTTCCTATTTGGAACCAGTCTCTTGTTCCATGTCCAGTTGTAGCTGTTGCTTCTTGACCTGCATACAAATTTCTCAGGAGGCAGATCAGGTGGTCTGGTATTTCCATCTCTTTCAGAATTTTCCAGTTTGTTGTGATCCACACAGTCAAAGGCTTTGGTATAGTCAATAAAGCAGAAGTAGATGTTTTTCTGGAACTCTCGCTTTTTCAATAGTCCAGCGGATGTTAGCAATTTGATCTCTGGTTCCTCTGTCTTTTCTAAATCCAGCTTGAACATCAGCCCTTTACTTGTACTTAAAACAGGTGGTTAAGTATATGGGTCTGAAATGCCTGAAACATGTATGGACCAGTGGACATAGAAATACATGTTTTGGGTTAAAAGATTTGGATTAAGGTTCAAATTCTTGCTGTGCCACTTAAAAGCTGCATGACTTTGGCAAATGAGGTGAGTTCTCTAAATGTTTACATCTTTATCTTTAGAACAGCTTAATCATACCTACTGTCCTGGGCAGTATTAACTATGACAATAAATAAAAGACGCCTAGAGTGTGCTAGGTTCTCAATTAGCATCAGTTCCTTTTTTCTAGAGAAAAAAATGACTTCGTGTACCAAATATGGAAATAAGAGAAAGATAGAAGGTGAAATGACAGTAACTGAACCTCACAAGGATGAAAAAAACCTACTTCAAAAGCGGCGTGATCCTTGTGCTTTTTCCTCTGTCTGATGTATGGATAGGAATATTTGAGTCATGATGGCTTTCTTCCCCTAAAACTATCCAAATAAAGTTTTCTTTCCTCAAAGGCAGGGAATCAAAGAAATAAAGATGCCAACCTGATAAGACCTAGAAATTAGAAATTAAAATGCCTTCCTCTCTGCATCTGTTTCAGATAATCATCTTTCTTTTGTTCATGACAGATGCATCAAGCATATTTGGGTTGATGGTGAATACAATTATTTTCGTCTCATTTAGGGACCGATGAGAAAACACTGATCAGCATTCTGACTGAGAGGACGAATGCACAACGACAGCTGATTGCTAAGGAATATCAAGCAATATGTGGAAAGGTACGGTTCCCTAACAGGCAGTAATGAGCTAATCACTGATGGATCAGGGCTGCTCCCATGTGATGATACCCCCAGATCTTTTATTGCAGGCCAAGTGTAACAGAAAGTGCCCAGTATATCCAGTCAATAGCCTGGAATAGATGTGGTTTTCCCCTTAACTGTCTGAATGGCCTTGGACGTGTTATTTGACCTTTCTGGACCTCAGCTATCTTCACCATTGAATAGGAAGGGTTGCCTTGGATCTGTGGCTCTAAATCAAGGATAATTTTGCTCCCCAGTGGCTATTTGACAGCATCTCCAAACATGCTGATTGCCACAACTGGTGGGAGAGGGATGTTGCTGGTACCTCATGGGACAAGATCAGAGATGCTGCTCAACATCCTTCAATGTGCAAGACAGTCCCCACAACCAGGAATCATCTGATAAGTCCTGTCTTAGGTGATCTTCAGTTTCTCTTTCAACTTTAATATATTTATGTAATTATATATTTTTTAATTCATTCAGCAAATGAAAACTTACTAAACACCAGAAGTTATATAAGAACTCTTCAGGAGCATTTTGTGTGTCTTTTCCACCTAGTTTTTTGAGTGTTGAGTTTTAGGCCAGCTTTTTCACTCTCCTCTTTCACCTTCGTCAAGAGACTCTCTAGTTCCTATTCCCATTATGCCATTAGTGTGGTATCATCTGCATATCTGAGGTTATTGATATTTTTCCCAGCAATGTTGATTCCAGCTTGTGCTTTACCCAGCCTTTCATTTTGCATGATATACTCTGTATAGACTTTAAATAAGCAGGGTGACAATATACAGGCTTGACGTACTCCTTTCCCAAATTTGGAACCAGTCCGTTGTTCCATGCCTGGTACTAACTGTTGCTTCTTGAGCTGCATACAGGTTTCTCAGGAGGCTGGTTAGGTAGTCTGATATTCCCATCTCTTTAAGGATTTTCCAGTTTGTTGTGATCCACACAGTCAAAGGCTTTAGCTTCATTTAGTCAATGAAGCAGAAGTAGATGGCTTTTGGAATTGCCTTGCTTTTTCTATGATCTCTTTAAGAAAATTAGCAGTGACCACAGGACTGGAAAAGATCCTCTCCTTTCCAATTCATATCATATTTGGCAATTTGATCTCTGGTTCCTCTGCTATTTCTAAATCCAGCTTGTACATCTGGACATTCTCAGTTCACATATTGTTGAAGCCTAGCTTGAAGGATTTTGAGCATTACCTTGCTAGCATGTGAAATGAGCATAGTTGTGTGGTAGTTTGAACATTCTTTGGCATTGCTTTTCTTTGGGATTGGAATAAAAACTAACCTTTTCCAGTCCTGTGGCCACTGCTGAGTTTCCCAAATTTGCTGGCATTTTGAATGCAGCACTTTCACAGCATCATCTTTTCAGACTTGAAATAAGTTAGCTGGAATTCCATCACCTCCACTATCTTTGATCGTGGTAACGTTTCCTAAGGTCCACTTGACTTCACACACCAGGGTGTCTGGCTCTAGGTGAGTGACCACATTATCGTGGTTATCTGGGTCATTTTGTGTAGTTCTCCCATGTATTCTTGCTACCTCTTCTTAATCTTTTCTGCTTCTGTTAGGTCCTTGCCATTTCTGTCCTTTATCATGCCCATCTTTGCATGAAGTGTTCCTTTGGTATATCTTATTTTCTTGAAGAGATCTCTAGTCTTTCCCATTCTATTGTTTTCCTCTCCTTCTTTGGATTGGTCAGTTAAGAAGACTTTCTTATCTCTCCTTGCTATTCTCTGGAACTCTGCATTCAGTTAGGTATATCTTTCCCTTTTTCTTTTGCCTTTTGCAAAGGAGAATTTGTAACCTAATTTTTATTTTTAAAAGATTATTTTAGCTGCCTGGCTAATGAACTGGTAAGGGAAAGAGTAGAAACACAAACCAGTCAGGCTATTGGATCCAGAATCAAGAGTGTGTTGTGACCATCCCCAGGCCGCTGAGGCATCACCCAGCAGCGTTCTCCCAGCCCACAGCTCCATTAGGCCACCCTTCTCTGTGTTTCCTCCATGCACTCAGTTACTCGCTTGTGTCCAACTCTTTGTGACCCCACAGACTGTAGCCCACTAGGTTCCTCCGTCCGTGGGATTTTCCCAGCTAAAGTACTGGAGTGGGTTGCCATTTCTTCCTTCAGGGGATCTTCCCCACCCGGGGATTGCAACTGCATCTCCTGTAGTGAAGGCAGTTTCTTTACTCCTGAGCCATTGAGGAAGCGCTGCGTTCCCTTTATCAGATATTTAATATATTACTTTGGAATTTTACCTTTGACTCTTTCTGTTTTTCCCTTTAGGGTACAGTGTCCTAGGGGTAAGGATTGTGTCTAACTCATCATTAAGTGCCTAGCACAGAGCAGGTACCCAGTAAACACTTGTCAAATTAAAAAATTGCCAAGCTTCTGGCCAAGGCAACATACTCATGTACAGGGAAGGTGAACGATCCATTGGCCTTTCAGGATTTCCAAAACATGGAGGAAGGATAGAGGGGAAGGGTGACAACCGTGTCTCACAGTGGGGCAGAAGGAGAGCCTGTGAAGTAAGATCCGGGTTGAGGACAGATGGGTTTGAGTTTAGCTGTTGAAGAGGAAACCCCCCACGATGACTACAGTGTCTCCATCCCATTTGTTTTGGCAGGAGCCTACCCTCACTGGGCCCCCAGTGTCATGGAAGATGGTGGTCTGCACCCACATTGTCATAGCAGTGTGGTGGGCTTTCAGCCTCTTGTTTCAAGGCTGGAGCTCATCAAGAGCAGGAAAAATAATTATTCAGTAATACTCCTTTGGCTACTAAAAATAGAAACCATATTACTTGCCTTCAAGCAAGGGAGATGGATCAGACTTAGGTAACATGTGAAAACACTGCTGAAAGAGAGTATCAATAAATGAGGTTCCCCTGTTGCCACATTTCTACTTTCCCCTGCTCTTGTTGCCAGAAAATCACTTTGGATGCCTCCTCATCCCACACTCTGAGCAGAGGCAAACGACCACGTGCTGTCTTCCCTCATCTTCTCCCCTTGAAGCTGTTTGGCAGACACTGAGAGGCCAGGCAGAGTGGAGCACCTCCCGTTAAAACTGGGTGTGAATTATGGGGCTCCTCTCCCATCACCTTCCCACTGAGAGCATCAGGGACCTGGGAAACTTATTTTAATAGTTCGTATCTGTGCCCCTCACAGGACCTCCTCCACTGCCTTCCCTGCAGGAAACCATCTATAAAACAACGTTTTGGAAACAATCATAAAATGCAGATTAATAGCCATAGAAGTATTTTCACCATTTCTGTTTATCTCCTGTGGATGCACATGTTTTTTGTCTGAATTCATACATTCATGTTCATCTGTTACTCCAGATGACTTTGGAGGAAGAGAAAGAAGTAGTTCATGATTTTCTCTTTCTTTTAATTTCAGGAACTGAAAGATGACTTGAAGGGTGATCTCTCTGGCCACTTCAAGGGTCTCATGGTAGCCCTGGTGACCCCACCGGCTGTGTTCGATGCAAAACAGCTAAAGAAATCCATGAAGGTATGAGCCGTCCTCAGGCCGTTTCTGCCTTGGATTTGATGATCAGAAAGGGTGTCTTTCTTCCAGTGCACACTTGGAGCACATGCTTGGTTGCTCAGTCATGCCCGACTCTTTGTGACCCCGTGGACTGTAACCCGCCAGCCTCCTCTGTTCATGGGCTTCTCCAGGCAAGAATACTGGAGCGGGTTGCCATTTCCTTCTCCAGGGATCTTCCTGACCCAGGGATTGAACCTGAGTGTCTTGTGTCACCTACATTGTCACGTGGGTTCTTTACCCCTGCAACACCGGGGGAGGTCCACGCACTTGAAGTATGGGAGTCAGTATGATGGATGTGGAGATTCTGTGATCTCCAGTTGTTAGAACAACCCTGAAATGGGAAGCAGTTGGGGAACCTTAAGCCCACATGTTCCTAGCCTGAAAGGATATTGTCCAATTTTGTTTTTTTGATCTGAGGAGTCAAATTCTCTATTTTGTTGTCATTGAGAGTTAGTGGCCCCATTATTAACCCCATTGCCTAGGCCCCAAACATAGAACTATCCTTGATCCTTCACTTCCTCTCACACTTCAAAGCTACCAAATTTTTTTTTTTTTCAGAAAAGCTCAGCTCTCTTCTTAATTAAGGCTGTTTGACTGATTGAATTAGGCCTGCTTAGAATATCTAAGATGCTCCCCCATAACGTCGATCGATAATGGATTGTAACTGCAAAATACCTTCACAGCAACACTAGATTAATGTTTGAATAACTGAGAACTGTAGCCTGGCCAGATTGACACATAAAACTGATCATCACACCCTCTTCTCCGCTGCCCAGCACCCCAATTCATTGTTGTAGCTGTTACTGGCTTTGTTGCTGCTTTGTGGCCATTCTCAGCTTATTCCTCTTGAAGTCTTTGTACACGGTGTTCTTTCCATCTGGAACGCTGTCCTTCCAGATGTTTTCTATTAACTCACTCAGTTTAATTTTCTTAATTGCACCTATTACCATCTAAAATTATCTTGCTGATTTTTTGGTCCATTTCCGTATTATTTTTTCCAGGGAACAGGGAAACTTTGATCATATCAGGGAACCTCATCCCTCTAGGAACCTCTCTGGTTCTAAAGGAAAGCCTGTGATGAAATAGATGCTTGACATACGAATGAGTTCCGAGAGTGAGTTCGTAAAGTCCAATTCGTTCATAAATCCAACAAAGTGAGCCTAGGTACCCAAGTAACTATCAGCTATATACTACTATACTGTAGTAGATTTATAATACTGTTCACACAGATAATACATAAAAAACAAACACAAGGAATAAAACAGTTTTAATCTTAGAATATTAATACCTTGAAATGTACAGTAGTGCAGTGTGAAAGTTGGCATACAGGGGCATGTTCAAGTCTTTGAAAGTTTGCAACTTGAAGGTTTGTGTGTAGGGGACTTACTGTATTTTTTGACCTGAAGGAGGGGAAGGAAGAAGTCTAGTTCTGAGGCAAGACCATCTTCTGCCTTCCCATCAGAGATAATCAGTTTTTTTTCTGTGGAAGAAGTATAGGTACCCAAGAAGTGGATGGCGAGAGGTGCAAGAGTTATATTGGGTGAAACGCTTGCAAAAGATAAGAGACAGCAGGGTAGGTGGGGTGAAACTGCTGACTACAGTACAGGTGTGACCCCTGTGAACGGAGAGAGGGAAGGAAGGAGGCTCAGGCAGGAAGAGCCTCCATCTACAGCGCTGCTCTGAGGAAGCCGTGGCAGGCCGGTGGGGAGCCCCGAGCAAGGCGTGCCCTTTGGAGGAGTCACATGGGGTGGGATGGTGGCCCAGCTTCAGTTCCCCTTCCATGCTCAGTCATGGCTGAAAGCAGCCTGGAGAGCCCATGATCTTGCTGTGAATTTTGTGGCAGATCCAAAGGTTGGAAGCTATCAGCCAGCTACATTCTTTGCAGCATATTCTCTTGAAATGAAATCTCAGCAGTGTGTTTCTGTGGCTGCTACATGGGGGACGGCTTAGCAGGTGAAATGGTGAGAATTAGATTAGCCAACAAGGATTAGAAATTTTCCTTCTATGTAAAAGAAATCCAAAGGAGGCCGTCCATAGCTCAGTATCATGGCACCATCATTATCAGACCTGCAGTCTTGAGGTTCCACCATCTTCAGCCTGTAGATTACACTTCTTATCTAGATGGCTGCTCAACATCCAGCCATTATACCTTTATTCCAGGCAACTGAAAAGAGTCAAAGACCAAGAAGTGTTCATCTTTTCTTTTTACAGACTCCCAGAAATTGTACGTAAGGCATCACATGTATTTCATGGATCAGAATTTAGTTATATAGATAAACCTAGCTCTAAGGGAAGCTGAGAAATATGGTCTTTATTTGGGTGCATGTGTGGCTAAGTCACTTCATGTGTGTCCACCTCCTCTGTCCATGAGATTCTCTAGGCAAGAATACTGGAGTGGGTTGCCATGCCTTCCTCCAGGGGATCTTCCTGACCCAGGGATCAAACTCACATCTCTTGTGTCTCCTGCTTGGCAGGCAGGTTCTTTACCACTGAGCCATCTGGGAAGCCACTTTATTTGGGTAGTTTTGTGCTAAGTTTAAAAATGGGGATTCTATCAATGATGAAAGCAGAAATATTGGATCTGCTCAATTTTGCTGTAAACCTAGAACTGCTCTAAAATGAATCAGGAGCTTGGGATTAACATATGCACACTAATGTATAAAAGATAGATAACCAGCAAGAGCCTACTGTATAGCCCAGGGAGCTTTACTCAATATTCCATGATAACCTATATAAAAAAAGAATCTGAAAAAGAATGTATATATGTTTATGTATAACTGAATCACTTTGTTGTACACCTGAAACTGACATGACATTGCAATCAACTACACTTCAATAAAGTTTTAAAAAGAAGGAAAACAACCCCCCCAAAAAAAGTCTATTTAAAAATAATAAGATAAATAAGTTGAAAAGGAGATCTGTTGGGGACCACTGGGAATCTTTGCCACAGAGGGACACAATTCAGCCTCTTTTCTTATACCACTTTGACCTGCTTTAATCAAGTCCTAGTGTAAATGGCTTCTACAGTGTGACTCTGACCTCAATATAAACCAAGACTCAGGAATCACTAGCCTCTAAACCAGCTGGGCTCATGGTCTCATACAATATCGAGGCTTTAAAAACCTCCCCAATGAAGAGGATGATGCCTGCTGACCAGTGCAGTGTATTGGCACAAGGATGAACTCATTTAGAAGAATTTCAGAGCCCTCTCTAAATACAATGACACATTCGAATGCTCAACTTCCGATCCTGAATGATGTAAGCTTTCCCTTTATCCTCTTTCCTCCTGGAATTAGTCAATGAATTTTTACACTGCAGCAGGATATTTTCTTTAAAATTTTAATGTCAGTTAACTTTAGATGATTCATGTTATTTTAATACTAAAATATACAGAGAATTTAAACACTGGTTTAGAGCAAGCGATTGACGAAAAACGATTCTTCTGTGTAAAACAAGATATTGAGACGGAAGTGCATAAAACTGAGTTTTTAAAGTGTTCTAAAAATAGTTTTCCACGAGACTTCCCTGGTGATTCAGTAGTTAAAAATCTGTCTTTCAGTGCAAGGGAGATGAGTTCGATCCCTGGTCCAGGAACTAAAATCCCACATGCAGTGGGGCAACTAAGCTGGCATGCCACAACTAGAGATCCTGAATGCCACAACTAAGACCCAATGCAGCCAAATAAATAAATAATTTTTTAAAAATAGTTTTCCTTTTTCTTTCTAGGGCACGGGAACAAATGAAGATGCTCTGATCGAAATTCTAACCACTAGGACGAGCAAGCAGATGCAGGAGATCGGCCATGCCTACTATACAGGTGATCTTATTTTCTGCTCACCTTTACCCCTGTTCACACCTATATAAGCCAATGCTATTTTCCCCCAGAAACCCACCAAGCTCTTCTTCATGAGTGATTTTGAGAAGGCAAGAGTATAAACAGGAGGACACATTCTAAGATGGGCTAAGGAGTGTGGATTTTCAAAGAACATTTTAGTATGATCTGAGCTAGAAGCTGCTACGCAGCAATGGCATTAATGCTTTGCATGTACAACATTACACCTCTAGTGGATTTTGCTCTCAGCAATTACTGCTTAATTGAATCAAGCATTTTCATCAGTGGAAGAGACTCAAATCATTGTATATTCATACGACATGTTAAAAACACTGGGCTTAGCCTCATGATTTTTGGTGTGGGAAATTGTGTGTGTGTGTGTGTGTGTGTGTGTGTGCTCAGTCGTGACTAACTTTTGGTGATCCGATGGACTGTAGCCTGCCAGACTCCTCTGCCCATGGAACTTTTCAGGCAAGAATGCTGGAGTGGGTTGCCATTTCCTACTCCGGGGCACCATCAAGACTGGTGGCGTGAAGACATATACTGGGAAAAGTCTGGGAGGGTCCCGAACACAGAGCGTGCAGGTCTGCAAGGTGCATTCCCCTCCCAGCAGAGTGATGTATCAATTAACTGCCACTTGGCCTTTGGTGTCTGGGGTTTTCAGTGGGGTTTTATCACACATGCATGGTTTTTGGTTTTTTTTTTAGAAACTAAGCAACAGAACATTTTGCTTACTTATTTAGTTTTGGCTGCACTGGGTCTTCCTTGCTGCACACAGGCTTTCTCTTGCAGCAATCAGGGGCTACTCTCGGTTGGGCTTCATGGGCGTCTCACTGCGGTGGCTCTTGTTGCAGAGCATGGACTCTAGAGCGTGCAGGCTTCAGTAGTTGTGGCACATGGGCTTAGGTGCCCCATGGCATGTGCAATCTTCCCGGACTGGGGATCGAACTTGTGCCCCCTGCATTTCACTGCACGTGGATTCTTACGCACGGGACCACCCAGGAAGTCCTACACAGGCGTGATTGACTCCATCACAGCCATGTGACTGAGCTCCATCTCTAGTGCCCTCCTCCCCACCAGAGGTCAGGCTGATATCACATGGCTCAAAGCCTTAACCCTTTAGTCACCAAGTTGATCTTTCTCGTATGACCCAGCACCATCTGGAGTCATCTTGTTAGCATAAACTCAGCTGTGGTTCAAGGGACCCTCCATGAATAACAATGATATTCCTATTGGGGAAATTCTGAGTGTTTAGAGGTTAGCTGCAAAGAGCAAGGGACAATGACCAGCCCAATTCTTATTAAACAACAGCTCTCTGTCACCCCCTCCAAGTACCTTAAGGGAGCCATGGTTTCTATGGTTTTGTATCATGGGGGCTTTTGCGGTGGAAGAGAGCAAAAGGAGGGATATACCTGTCCCCAGGTGGGTGTTAGAGAGGTTACTTTGAGAATTTCTCATTAGAACGTAGATCCCTCAATGATAGGTGACTGTTTTATTGTTAATGTGCTAATCAGGTCTAGTCAGAAAACCAGAAACACACTAGGTGCTTTAACAGAGAGAATTTTAATATCAAGAATTGTTTAAGCACTTCTGGAAAACTGAAAAAGTGGAACAGAAACACAGGGGAGGCTCAGAAGTGTAACCCTCAAGGCCGGGACGAGATTTGGGTTTTTAGAAACTGGCTCAGAGGAGTTGCTGGTACTTTCCGGTGTTGGTACTAGGTTGGCCAGAAGTCTGTTCCGGTTTTTCTGTAATATTTTATGGGAAAACCCAAACAAACTTTTTGGCCAGCCCAATACTTCAGGGGTTCAGAGGAGAGGCCCCAGGACTTGGAGTTCAGATCTCCATGGAGGGGAAGGGAGCTCCATCTCACTAAGGCTATTACCTCCATGTGATAGCCTTGCAATAGCATGTAAACAGGCGACTTGTTCTAGAAGCCTGGAGCCAACTGCTACTATCAGAATGCATCTCTTCACTCGGTTGACACTGTCCTTCCTTCCTCCTTCTGCCTTCCATCTGATCTCCCTCTGCTCCCCTCATTGGTGGAACCTGAGAGGGAGGTGAGGTGTGGGGGAAAAAGAGAAATATAATTTGTTGAGTCCCACCCCTAGCTCCACAAATCAAGGTGTAGAGGGGCAAATTTGGAGTAGAATGAGACCATTGCTCAAAAATAGGCATAGGTGTTTAATGTCTTTGATCCCCTCAGTTCAACAAGATGTATTTGTAAAAAATCACCAGACCCCAGGGCTGTATCCCAAGATACTGTGTTGCTTTTTGGTATCTGTTAGAAGAGTTACCACTCCATGAGATGACTGACCCCAAAATTCTCCCTGAAGTTCAGCATTTATTTATGTACAAACAGCCCTGCGGTGTAATCTCTATGAAGGGGAAGTTTTTGTCTGTTTTGCTCTATGTTTTATCTCCAGTGCTCAGAATATTTATTGAATGGATATCCTTAAGATTGAGATAGGGGACCTCAAGAGCCAAATGAATGGGACTATTGTTTTGCAAATATGACAAGTGATCCTTGTTCAAGGTTATCAGATGCCCTCGGTATCTGTGTGAGTTAAGCTCTCCAAAGCTAGAAAGAATTAAACTACATCTAGCTTCCCTTGGTAAGTAGGGATTCATGATACACAAGAATTGAGAGAAGGAAATAGTAAAAGAAGGCAGAGAGCTAAAGCCCGTAGTCTCAATCATGTAGAGCCGAGCTGATACAGGACCCAGAACTTTGCTAGAGACTCAGCCGTCCACTCGCTCCCTTTGTGTCAGGCATCCATGGCTCCCCTGCACATCCCCATCCGAGCAACTCTTTCCCCTCCTTCTCTGCCTCTACTGATCTTCAAGAGACCAAGTAACATCTCTTCCCTCACCACATGGTATGTGTCTCCTCAAAGCTTGCATTTGCTCACGGTTTCTGATTTTGTCTTGGCTTCAGTTTTATGCTTTATTTCTGGGAGTCTTTCCACTTCATTGTTAGTCTTTTTAAAAACTTCTGTACAGCTCACTCTGTAACAGAGAAGATTCAGTGGGCTCAGAAAGGCACTTTCTTTTGGGCAGAGTTCTCCTACCAGGTCACCTCGTAGGCTGCTGGCTCCCTCTAGTCAGAGGCCAACCCTGTTGCAGTCAGCTGTAGTGAGAGTAATGGCGTCGTATAATGTGAAACAGTGACCTATGTGTAGAAATCCATCAGACGAACTGTCAACGTGGCCCTCGTAAAGGGACCAGGTATATGGAGTGGCTTGTACAGTACAGTGATACAATAACACTTCAAGGAATAGAGAGCTAAGTTCTGAACTCTTCCCAGTATTTTATTAGCACCACACTCTAACCAACTGAGCTAACCGGCCACCTTCCTCCCAGTATTTTAAAGTCAACGGTGTGCGAGAGAACACTGAATCAGGAATCAGAGCTCTAACTTCTGCATTATTAAGACACTGTATTTGTTTATCTGTACCCTCAGTTCAGTTCAGTCGCTCAGTCATGTCCAACTCTTTGCAACCCCATGAACCGCAGCACGCCAGGCCTCCCTGTCCATCACCAACTCCCGGAGTCCACCCAAACCCATGTCCATCGAGTCAGTGATGCCATCCAACCATCTCATCCTCTGTCATCCCCTTCTCCTCCTGCCCTCAATCTTTCCCAGCATCAGGGTCTTTTCAAATGAGTCAGCTCTTCACATCAGGTGGCCAAAGTATTGGGGTTTCAGCTTCAACATCAGTCCTTCCAGTGAACACCCAGGACTGATCTCCTTTAGGACGGACTGGTTGGATCTCCCTGCAGTCCAAGGGACTCTCAAGAGTCTTCTCCAACACCACAGTTCAAAAGCATCAATTCTTCAGTGCTCAGCTTTCTTTATAGTCCAACTCTCACATCCATACATGACTACTTGGAAAAACCATAGCCTTGACTAGACAGACCTTTGTTGGAAAAGTAATGTCTCTGCTTTTTAATATGCTGTCTAGGTTGGTCATAAGTTTCCTTCCGAGGAGTAAGCGTCTTTTAATTTCATTGCTGCAGTCACCATCTGCAGTGATTTTGGAGCCCAGAAAAATAAAGTCAGCCACTGTTTCCATTGTTTCCCCATCTACTTACCATGAAGTGATGGGACCAGATGCCATGATCTTAGTTTTCTGAATGTTGAGCTTTAAGCCAACTTTTTCACTCTCCTCTTTCACTTTCATCAAGAGGCTCTTAAGTTTTTCTTCACTTTCTGCCATAAGGGTGGTGTCATCTGCATATCTGAGGTTATTGATATTTCTCCCGGCAATCTTGATTCCAGCTTGTGCTTCCTCCAGCCCAGTGTTTCTCATGATGTACTGTGCATATAAGTTAAGTAAGCAGGGTAACAATATACAGCCTTGACATATTCCTTTTCTTATTTGGAACCAGTCTTTTGTTCCATGTCCAGTTCTAACTGTTGCTTCCTGACCTGCATACAGGTTTCTCAAGAGGCTACTGTGCCCCAAAATGCATAAAGTAGTTTTCAACTTTCATTGAAAAAATTTTTCATATTTTTAGTCTAATTTCCTACAAAAAATACCTGGGGTAAAAAGGAGGTGTGGGAGATTGTATGAGTCTCATCTAGATAATTCTAATATTATAAAATACTTCTGCAAATTCTAACAAATCAGAGTATCATCCTTAGGCTTTATATTTTTAAATTAAAATTTTTTTTCTAAGAGTGAAGGATAGGTGTAACAATAACATATGAGTGTTGGGGGAAATGATGCCTACTAAATGTTGTTATTACTTAGATAAATAATCTATATTTACAGTGGATTTTGTTTACTTGAATTGCTCTGGAGAATTATAGATTTCATTAAAGAGACTTACTAAAATCATACTGAAAAAATTTCTGTCTCAACAGTTGTTAAGATTAGATGATCTCAAATCATTTTCTTTCTTTAAATTTGTTTTTGGCTCCACTATGTCCCTGTTGCTACACTCGGGCTTTCTCTACTTGCAGTGCATGGGCTTCTCATTGCGGTGACTTCACTTGTTGCAGCTCATGGGCTCTAGAGCGTGGGGTCAATTGTTGCAGCACTCCGCAATTTAGTTGCCCCTCGGTATGTAGGATCTTTCTGGGCCATGAATCAAACCCACATCCCCTAACCACTGGGCCACCAGGGAAGTCCTCATGTCACTTTCTGTAGTTGTCCTTCACTGATTTAAAAGGATAAGTATTCATATGACTGATTTATAAAGTTCTTGGGAATGAGGCAGGCAGAGTTCAAATAGCCCCATGGTGTCAGCTGCATCCAGGTATACAAGTGGCTCAAAGAGAAATACTACTCCATGGGTGGAACAGAACAGAGTTTTGAGATGCACGGAACACTACACATCACAGGTTATGTAAAAAGGGCTACAACTAGTTGGTACTAAAATATGTGAACACACAGTTGACATTTGTTATGGAAAAACAGTATGTTTTAGGGTAGCTTTCTTACTTTTGAGAGCTATCAGAGAATACAACCTAGTTGTATGCATTAAGATTTGAGATAGGTAATACAGCAAAAATAACAGTGACTTTAGTAAGATAGATATTTATTTCTTTCATATATAGAAGTCTGGACATAAGAAATTCTAGGACTGGTATGATAGCTCCTCAGAACTTTCAGGAACCCAGACCCCTTCCTGCTTATGTTTATGCCATCACTCAGAGGTACTTCTTCACAGACCAGGATGGATGCCTGAGCTCCAGCAATCAGTCAAGCAGTAGGAAGGAGGAAGGCACGAAGATGGACATGAGCCATCATTAAGGAGATTTCCCAGCAGTGTCCTAAAGGTCTGCCTGCATTTCATGCCAAGAGGAGAGCTGAGAATGTGGTCTTTAAGCTGTGTGTACTATGTCTTACTTAAGGCCAGGTTTCTATTCCTGTGGAAGAAAGATGTAATAGAAATTGGAAAGCAAACTAATAGCTTGGCCACCCTAGCTTTCTCACTATACATTTCTTAGTGCCATAGTCAGATGAAATGAACCATGATTTGATCCAGGATAGCAGCTTTTTTTGTGTGTGTGCTTGTGCTACTACCACACCACACACTATAGTAATAGTTATAAGAAGAATTTATCTATTGCAGAAGAGCACTAAAAGATTAAGAAAAGCAGCAGCAAGATTTATTTTATCAGGTACTCATCCCTTGCCAATGTTGACATTTAAGCTTTTTTGTTTTATAATAATATTTTTAGCTTATCAAGGCTTAGTTTCATTCTTATCTGGTTTCAGTGTACAAGAAGAGTCTTGGAGATGAGATTAGTTCTGAAACATCTGGTGATTTCCGGAAAGCTCTGTTGATTTTGGCAAATGTAAGTTTTTATTTTTCATTTTCCAACTCCCCAATAAGATACATGCTCAATAATGATTTTTAGGAAGTTTTCAAACAACCAAACTGAGGCAGTGAGATTGAAATTTTCCTTATGAAATGATTTGTTCATTTTACATTTGCATCACCACCATACAGCATAATATTTAACTACTATCATAAAAGTATAACATAATGAGTAGCCAAAAAATCTTGTTTTGATCAGTATATGGATTAAATGTATTTTGATCAAGGTTTGTAATACATTAGAAAATATTCTGTAAGTTCATCTGGGCTTCCCTGGTGGCTCAGATAGTAAAGATGCCTGCAATATGGGAGACCTAGGTTCAATTCCTGAGTCGGGAAGATCCCCTGGAGGAGGGCATGGCAATCCACTCCAGTATTCTTGCCTGGAGAATCCCGTGGACAGAGGAGCCTGGCGGGCTACAGTCCATGGGGCTGTGAAGAGTTGGACACAACTGAGCAACTAAACATACACACAAGTTCATCTGGAAGAAAAATCATTTATTTCCATTGTAAGTGTCTCCATGTTTAAGAACATGCTGATTTTCTTCTGAACTCCAAAGAATATTTAACTTTTGGTAGCATTTAAATTAAGTAGGAAGCATAATAGAGAAGAATTGCCTTCAGAGAAGGGTATATCAGTCTCAGGACTTAAAAAGTGACTTTCTGCAACTTCATCCTTGCCCTCTTTGGAAGAGCCGCTAAACCATTCATCACCATGTGACCAAAATGTGGCCACACCTTGCTATCTCCTTTTATGATGCTCATGGCTTTATAAAAAAGATGGTAAGATCAAGATGGGCACAATAAAGGACAGAAATGGTATGGACCTAACAGAAACAGAAGATATTAAGAAGAGGTGGCAATAATACATAGAAGAACTGTACAAAAAAGGTCTTAATGACCCAGATAATCACGATAATGTGGTCACTCACCTAGAACCAGACATCCTGGTGTGTGAAGTCAAGTGGACCTTAGGAAGCATTACCATGATCAAAGCTAGTGGAGGTGATGGGATTCCAGCTAACCTGTTTCAAGTCTGAAAAGATGATGCTGTGAAAGTGCTGCACTCAGAATGCTAGCAAATTTGGGAAACTCAGCAGTGGCCACAGGACTGGAAAAGGTCAGTTTTCATTCCAATCCCAAAGAAAGGCAATGCCAAAGAATGTTCAAACTACTGCACAATTGCACTCATCTCACATGCTAGCAAAGCAATGCTCAAAATTCTCCAATTCAGGCTTCAACAGTATGTGAACTGAGAACTTCCACATGTTCAAGCTGGATTTAGAAAAGGTAGAGGAACCAGAGATCAAATTGCCAGCACCCAGTGGATCATTGAAAAAGCAAGAGAGTTCCAGAAAAACATCTACTTCTGGTTTATTGACTATGCCAAAGCCTTTGACTGTGTGGATCACAACAAACTGTGGAAAATTCTTCAAGTGATGGGAATACCAGACCACCTGACCTGCCTTCTGAGAAACCTGTATGCAGGTCAGGAAGCAACAGTTAGAACTGGACATGGAACAATGGACTGGTTCCAAATAGGAAAAGGAGTACGTCAAGGCTGTATATTGTCACCCTGCTTATTTAACTTATATGCAGAGTACATCATGAGAAACACTGGGCTGGAGGAAGCACAAGCTGGAATCAAGATTGCCAGGAGAAATATCAATAACCTCAGATATGCAAATGACACCACCTTTATGGCAGTAAGTGAAAAGGAACTAAAAATCCTCTTAATGAAAGTGAAAGAGGAGAGTGAAAAAATTGGCTTAAAACTCAACATTCAGAAAACTAAGATCTTGGCATCAAGTCCCATCACTTCATGGGAAGTAGATGGGGAAACAATGGAAACAGTGACAGGCTTTATTTTCTTGGGCTCCAAAATCACTGCAGATGCTGATTATAGCCATGAAATTAAAAGACACTTTCTCCTTGGAAGAAGAACCTTGACACACCAAACGGCATATTAAAAAGCAGAGACATTACTTTGCTAACAAAGGTCCAAGTAGTCAAAAGCTATGGTTTTTCCAAGTAGTCATGTATGGATGTGATAGTTGGACAATAAAAAAGATTGAGCACCGAAGAACTGATGCTTTCAAACTGTGGTGTTGGAGAAGACTCTTGAGAGTCCCTTGGACTGCAAGGAGATCAAACCAGTCCATCCAAAAGGAAATCAGTCCTGAATATTCATTGGAAGGACTGGTGCTGAAGCTGAAACTCCAATACTTTGGCCGCCTGATGGGAAGAACTGACTCACTGTTCAAAGACCCTGATGCCAGGAAAGATTGAAGGTGGGAAGAGAAGGGGATGACAGAGGCTGAGATGGTTGGATGGCGTCACCAACTCAATGGACATGCGTTTGAGTAAGCTCCGGGAGTTGGTGGCGGACAGGGAAGCCTTGCGTGCTGCAGTCCATGGGGTCACAAAGAGTGGGACACGACTGAGCGTCTGCACTGAACTGAACTGAAGGTCAGGGATGAGATACAGTCATAGATGTGTGTAAGAGGGGCTTCCCAGGTGGCGCTAGTGATAAAGAACCCACCTGCCAATGCAGGAGACGTAGGAGATACAGGTTTGATCCCTGGCTTGGGAAGATCCCCTGGAGGAGGAGATGGCAACCCACTCCAGTATTCTTGCCTGGAGAATCCCTTGGACAGAGGAGTTTGGCTGGCTATAGCACATAAGGTCCCAAAGAGTTGGACACAACTGAAGCAGCTTAGCATGCACGCACTCATGTGTGCAAGAGAGGAAATGACTTAAGCCCTATCTCAACAACCTCTTTCAGCTGATTTACACACCCCTTAATGTGTAGGAAAATCCCAATCACTGTCCCAGCCTGAGGGTCGAGGCAACACTTGTCATTATGCCACTAGGGAACAATTTATCCTAATTATAGTTTCAGTTGTTTCCAATGGCGAAAGCCTTTTGAAGTTTGAACCTATAAATCCAAGTTGGTGAGACATGGCTGCAAACAGACAGTCCCACATGTCAGTATGCATAAGTGTATGTGTGGTGAGCACACACGCCCACAGGAGGCAGTGGTGAGCAGGGCTCCTGGGCAGTTTCAGAATCGGGCCCCGACTCTCCTACCCCTCTGCTGCCTACCAGCTCTATGTACTTAGACAAGTTACTTTAACTCAAGCCTTGAAGCCTGCATTTCACATCCGTACAGCTAAAATAATAGTATTACCAACCACAGAGGGTGCTGTGAAGATACAGAAAGAGAAAGAGTATGAATAACAGCACAAAGTCATTGATACGTGGTGGTGGCGGCTTATTGGAATTAATGCCAGTGGTCATCAACACTTTTATTATTGAAACAGAGTGAATGATGAAAGGAGAACAAGAAAGCAGCAAACCGGAGAAGGCTAGTTGGAGCAGAGTAGCAGCAGCACTGGAAGCAACAGAGAAAAGAAATCATGCAAAAGTCAGGCAGGCATACAAAGACCTAATATTTGCAAATAGGCATAAATATATTTTTAAATTTTTTGTTCATTATTAATTTATACTGAAGCATTATTATACTGAGGCATAATTGCTGAATTGATGCTTTTGAACTGTGGTGTTGGCGAAGACTCTTGAGAGTCCCTTGGACTGCCAGGAGATCCAACCAGTCCATCCTAAGGGAAATCAGTCCTGAATATTCATTGGAAGGACTGATGCTGAAGCTGAAACTCCAATACTTTGGACACCTGATGCGAAGAACTACTTATTGGAAAAGACCCTGATGCTGGGCAAGGTTGAAAGCAGGAAGAGAAGGGGGACGACAGAGGCTGAGATGGTTGGATGGCATCACCAACTCAATAGACATGAGTTTGAGCAAGCTCCGGGAGTTGGTGATAGACCGGGAGGCCTGGCATGCTATAGTCCATGGGGTCACAAAGAGTGGGACATGACTGAGTGACTGAACTGAACTGAACTGAACTCCATTTATAGTTATCATAAAATATTGACCTTATTTCCTGTGTTGTGCAGTGTATCCTTATAGCTTATTTTATACCTAATAATTTATATCTCTTATTCCCCTACCCCTATAATGCCCCTGCTCCCTTCCCTTTCCCCATTGGTAACCACTAGTTTAGAACAAATGCATTTTTTAAAGTATTATAGCCAAAAGTTTCATTCACCTGTAATTTGCAAAATAATTCAGGCAATCTTCTTTCTTTCTCCATCTTCCATCTTCTAAAATGTCTTGAATTATTTATGTGCAAGCACACACACTTAGCCATAGAGCCTTCAACAGTAGAGTTAGTGGGGAATCCTTGAGTTTTGGGTTTATTTGACTACTTTATTTTTAGAGCAGTTTTAGATTTCCAGAAAAATGCAGCAGAAGCTACAGAAACCTCTCACATGCCCCTCCTCCTTGCACACATCTTGCGTTAGCATGGTACATTGGTTATAGTTGATGAATGAATTAAATGATAAATGAATTAGATGATGATTACATGATGAATGAATGAACTGACACATTATTAACTAAATTCTGTACTTTACGTTAGGATTCACTCTTTGCGTTATACATTCTATGGGTTTGGACAAATGTTTAATGTCTTGTGTCCACCATTACAAAGTCATGTGGAATAGTCTTACTGCCCTAAAAATCTGTGCTTCAGCCATTCATCCCTCTGTTTCTCCCTCTGAACCTCTGGTAACCAGTGATCTTTTTATCTCTATAGTTTTGCCTTTTCCCAGTGGTCCTATAGTTGAAATAATACAGTGTATAGGCTTTTCAGACTGCATCATTTCACGGCTTAATAACTCATTTCCTTTTTTTTTTTTCATCACTGAGTGCTATTTCACTGTGGGTTTCCCAGGTGGCTCAGTGGTAAAGAATTCACCTACCAATGCAGGAGACCTGTGTTCAACCCCTGGGTCAGAAAGATCCCCCTTAGAAGGAAATAGCAATGCACTCCAGTATTCTTGCCTGGGAAATCGCACGGACAGAGGAGTCTGGTGGGCTACAGCTCACGGGGTTACAAAGAGTCGGACACGACAGAGAGAGAGATGTTGTTGAGCATCTTTTGATGTACTTTCTCGCCATCTGTGTATCTGATATCTATTCAGATATTTTTCCCATTTTTAATTGGGTTGTTCTCTTTTTGTCGAGTTTTAAGAGCTTCTATGTATTTTAGATACAAGTCCTGTATATCTGATACGTATCTGATGTATTTGCATACATTTCCTCCCAAGGTGTGGCTTGTCTTATGATTCCCTGAAAACCTTGAGTTTCTAGAGAAGGAAACTCGTGCTCAGAAGACTGTAGGGATTTGCTGCAGATTTCACGGCTAGTCAGCGGCAGGGCCAGAAAGAGAGCTGTGAGTGATCAATTCCTTTGGGCCGTGTGGTCCTCACTGGAAGAAACAGCTCTAAGAGGCCCTGCGGGTTCAAATGCCAAATGATGGAATATTTATCTTTAAAAAGACTGCCTTCATTTTTATCTTCTCTGATTAGGGCAGAAGAGATGAGAGTCTAAAAGTGGATGAGCAGCTGGCCAGAAAGGATGCTCAGGTCAGTAACAGCAGAGAAAACATCTCCTTGAACTCTCCTCCCTCCTGACTGCCTTCTTATATCTCCGGCATCAGCTGGGGCCGTGCTCTCTTCTTTTCTGTCTGAAGGAGAAGCCTGAAGCCCAGCGATACTTTAGCTCCATCTTTCTGCCTGCCCCAGTGCTGGTTATTATTCCCCTGGCTCCTGCCACTTCGACTGTCAGATTTTTCTGCTAGAAGTGAAAGACACGGCTTATCGAAGACCTCAAAGACCTGTAAAATAAACTTACCCCTCTTCTCATCCCACCTCCTCAAAAAAAGACAGAATTGGGTTCATACTAGCATTTACATCTTCTCTCTTGTCCAACAGATTCTCTATAACGCTGGTGAAAAGAGATGGGGCACGGATGAAGATGCCTTCACTGACATCCTGTGTCTAAGGAGCTTTCCTCAATTGAAACTGAGTATGGACTCACATTACAATCTTTTTTTCTTTTCTCTGAATTGTGTTGTTTTTGCAAGTATTTCCGGGTTTAATATACATAATTCTGGAAAATGAAGTTAAAAGTGGTGAAGGCAAAAAAAACAAAAAGTGGTGAAGGCGGTCCCATTTTTATGTACAGACATTTCAGGAAACAACCTGGGGAAGCTGTGCTCCAGCTCAAGGGAGAATCAACACTGCTCAGGTTTTACCCTCGGAGCTGAGTAGATTACCTGTGTGTATTTAGTCACTCAGTCGTGTCCAACTCTTTGCAACTCTTTGGACTGCAGCACGCCAGACTTCCCTGTGCTTCACCATCTCCTGGAGCTTGCTCAAGCTCAGTCCATTGAGTCAGTGATGCCATCCAGCCATCTCATCTTCTGTTGTACCCTTCTCCTCCTGCTTTCAATCTTGCCCAGCATCAGGGTCTCCCCCAATGAATCAGTTCTTTGCATCAGGTGGCCAAAGTATTGGAGCTTCGGCTTCAGCATCAGTCCTTCCAATGAATATTCAGGACTGATTTCCTTTAGGATGGACTGGTTTGATCTCCTTGCAGTCCAAGGGACTCTCAAGAGTCTTCTCCAACACCACAGTTTGAGAGCATCAGTTTTTCAGTGCTCAGCCTTTTTTATTGTCCAGTTCTCACATCCATGCATACTACTGGAAAAACCATAGCTTTGGCTAGATGGACCTTTGTTAGCAAAGTGATGTCTCCGCTTTTTAATATGCTCTCTTGGTTTGTCATAGCTTTTCTTCCAAGGAGCAAAGTTTTTTAATTTCATGGCTGCAGTCACCATCTGCAATGACTTTGGAGCCCAAGAAAATAAAGTCTGTCACTGTTTCCATTGTTTCCTCATCTGTTTGCCCTGAAGTGATGGGACTGGATGCCAAGACCTTCAGTTTTTGAATGTTGAGTTTTAAGCTAGCTTTTTCCTTCTCTTTCATCTTCATCAAGAGGCTGTTTAGTTCCTCTTCACTTTCTGCCATAAGGGTGGTGTTATCTGCATATCTGAGGGTTTTGATATTTCTCCTAGCAGTCTTGTGCTTCATCCAGTCCAGCATTTTGCATGATGTACTTTGCACATAAGTTAAATAAGCAGAGTGACAATATACAGCCTTGATGTACTCCTTTCCCAATTTGGAACCAGTCCATTGTTCCATGTCCAGTTCTAACTGTTGCTTCTTGACCTGCATACAGATTTCTCAGGAGACAGATAAGGCGGTCTAATAGTCCCATCTCTTGAAGAATTTTCCAGTTTGTTGTGATCCACACAGTCAAAGACTTTAGCATTGTCAATGAAGTAGATGTTTTTCTGGAACTACCTTGCTTTTTCCATGATCCAGCAGATGTTGGCCATTTGATCTCTGGTTCCTCTGCCTTTTCTAAATCAGCTTGTACATCTGGAAGTTCTCAGTTGATGTACCGTCGAAGCCTAGCTTGGAGGATTTTGAGCATTACCTTCTAGCATGTGAAATGAGTGTGTGACAGATAACAGACGGGGTGGGGCTGGCAGGGAGGAAAGGGGAGCTGCCCTCTGAGCTGAGAGCAGGGAGGAGTGTTCCTGCTGACGGCAGATCCTAAATCACGGCTTCCAGCCCCTTTCTTGCCTAGTGAGCCACTTTCCAGGAAGACCAGGCATTACGGGTGATCTCTGTCAATGTATGAATACGGATTATCGTTCAACTTTTTCTGATATGAAGGTAAATGGGTGGGGTGGGGAAGCTGTTTTTCTCAGACCAGCTATTCCATGGAACTGCTGAGCACCCACCCCTTCACTCATGCATCTCCCTGGGTCATTCTGGAAGCAACAGTACCCAGAAATCCAGAACTCCACTTCCTGCGGACAAGAACTGTATCTTCCCTGTGCTGCTCTGGAGTACCACCACGGTGCCTGACTGTGCTTACACCTAGTTCGTGGGAAAACGAGGAGACCTGGACATTGAAATTTCATTCTTTTTATAAAATAATAGTAATAGTATATTATAGTTGCTTTATTAATGTCTTTATTTGAAAAATAAAAACCAAACAATCATAGATCTCCAAATTTTCTGTTTTCACAATTTACTTGGAAACAATATACTTGGCTTACAAAGTATCCCTCCATGCTGGGTGATGTATGTACAGGTTTTACTTTCGGGAAATATTGACCAAGAACTTTCAGTGCCTTCCAATAAGTATGAAATAGGCTCTGCTGCCTTGGGGAGTGATTTATTCAGCACAAAGAAATCTTCACAGTTAAGATTTCAGTAGCAGATTTAAAATATATTTGACTCATGACCACATTCTTGTTTCTTAGGTGCTGTTATCTTTTAAAAGTTAGCCCACCTTGCTAGAGAAATTATTTATCATTTAACTTTTCAGGCTATTTTAAATGCTTACAGCCTGGGATGGGAAGGGAGGAAAGGAGAGAGAGATAATCATTGAAGAAAATGGCCTATGAAGTTCAAGTTTTATTGTTGATGATATTTTTAAAAAGAAATTAAAAACAAAAAGTTCTGTGCTGAGTTTTTGATGGTTTAAAGAAGTGTTTGTGCTTGCTACTTAATAACATGATTTGCTGCATATCAGATCAGAAGCTAAAATATATTCAGGTGTCAACTGGGATGCTTTCAATTTTTTTGCGATGCTGCTTTTCAGCATTTGATGAATACAGAAACATTAGCCAGAAGGACATTGAGGACAGCATCAAAGGAGAATTGTCCGGGCATTTTGAAGACTTACTGCTGGCCATAGGTAAGCCCATGAGTGCTTATAAACTGAGGTACTTTGCACTTGTTTTAAATCAGTGTCAGAATCAGCTCTTTTCATCTCAGAATCCTTACTGATCCATCTTTATGCTCCCCAGAGCCCTCAGCACGGTCCATGGTACACACCATATGCTCAAATATTGTGAAATGGATGCAGGAAGATGTTCTCTGTTTAGGGCTTCCTTTGCCTTTTAACTTTGTATTTATCTTGGTACCACATTTGGATTATAAACTCCTTGAGAAAGAAAAATGTTACACTTCTACTGGCATTTTTATGGAGCCCATTGAAAACATAGATCTAAGCCCATATGGTAATTAATCATGTTTGGTTATTTTTGGAAGATGTCAGTGACCTCCCAAGATTAAACTCAGGACAGAACTACAGGTCTCCTCCTTGTTGGCTGTGTGAACAGGGAGAATCAGAAAGAAAATAAGTCACAGACTGAATCTGTTCTTGGAGAGACACATGGATTAACAAGCAGACAAAAACATGGTTATGTAAGCTGGTCTGTCTTCCTCAGGTCTCTGCAGCCTGTGCTTTTAGGCACCCAAAGAACACCATGCAAGAAAGATGCATTCAGAGGAATGAGACACTCTTCAAAGACAGGACTCAGTGACCATTCTAGCCGAGTCAGGCTTGCGTGGGTGCTTAGTCACTCAGTTGTGTCCCACTCTTTGTGACCCCATGGACTGTGGCCCTCCAGGCTCCTCTGTCCATGGGATTTTTCAGTCAAAAATACTGGACTGGGTTGCCATTTTGTCCTCTAGGGGATCTTCCCGGCCCGGGAATCAAACCCATGTCTCCTGTGTTTCCTGCATTGTAGGTGGATTCTTTACCTGCAACTCAGTCTAAATGCTCATAAGCACACAGGATTGTTCAGAATCCTAAACTTCTCCAATTTCTGGTGACTGTTGGTCTTGCTTCTCCGCTAATGCCAGGGTAGGAGTATTTGTCATCCCCACAACTTATCATTTCACCAATGGACTGTCATATCTAACATCAATCACAATAAATAATAGCTTCTCCAGTGAGATAAAGATAGCTGATATCTAAGGGTAACCTCCAGAGTGAGGCTCTTGATTCATCTTTCAAATGTTAATTACCACCTCTGGAGGGTGGAAGGTGCCTCAAATTGTACTTTTTAAATAAACACTTGTCAGGCACTTACAACATGCTCGGCATTATACTAACCTCTTGGCAAACATCAACCCACTTAAGCCTCATGACAATCCTGGGGGTGAGGGACTGTTATTATCTCCATAGGAGACCTGAGGAACCAAAAGGTTAAGTTCCTTTCCCAAGTTACTCAGGGAAAGTGTGGTGGAGCTGGGGTTCTAACCTAGGCATTTGGGCTCCACAGCCTGTGATGTTAACCAGCCTCTCCAATGTGCTTCAGGGGAAATGGAGATTGAAACCTGCATGTATCACCCCATCCACAGTGAACTATTCTAAATTACAGGGACAGTACCAGGGAGCAAGCCCTCCCTAAGGTTTGGGCTCTAGTCTCAAGATTTCCTCTGCATGTGTTATTTCATTAACTTCTGATCCTCTCTTCAGTGCCAAGAATAGGACTCTTGATCCAAATGCTGCTTTTGAAAAAAATATGTATACACACAGCCACACACACATATGTATGGCTTCCCAGGTGGCACTAATGGACCCACTTGCCAATGCAGGGGACATGAGAGACACAAGTTCAGTCCCTGAGTGGAGAAGATCCCCTGGAGGAGGGCAGGCAACCCACTCCAGTATTCTTGCCTAGAGAAGAATTCCATGGACAGAGGAGCCTGGTAACCTAGGCTACAATCCATAGGGTTGCACAGAGTCAGACACAACTGAAGCATCTTAGCAAGCACATGTGTGTGTGTATGTATAGGTGACTTGCTAAAAGACCAAGAAGGAATGAAAAGCTTCTTTTTCAATTTAAAAAAAATGAATCAGAGATCAGTCTCCATACTTAGCTCTGACAATATTCCACTGTCAGTGATATAGCCAGTTAATTTTTTTCATTTCATATTTTAACCTTTACATCAGTTTTGCTGCTTTTTACCTTGCCTGCTGCATTATTTGAAAAACTTTATTAAGATGTACACATTCTCACTTCATTGAGCTAAGAGGCATTTTTGGAAATAGATGCTGAATTATGCACTAAATGTGGGCCATAGTGTGTGTTATTTTATCAAGTGAAAGAAAGACTTTAAAATTTAACTAATTTAAAGTTCAAGATATGTCTCACTTTCGTTTTCTATTTCAGTCTATCACTGGAATATATTTTTTAAAAAATCTTTATTGAGATAGAACTCAAATACCATAAAATTCACCCGAAGTTTGCAATTCAGTGCTCTCTCGTTTCACAGAGCTCTGCACCTGTCACCAGAATCTAAGTTTGGGCTCTTCCCATCAGCCCTCAAAGAAACCCCATGCCCATTGATAATCACTCCCCACTCCTCCCACCCCTTGCCACCACCAATTTCCTTTCTGTGTCAATAGATCTTCCTGTCCTGGCTATTTCATATACAAGGAATCTAAAACACTGTCAACACATAGCTTTCGCCACGAAAAACCATCTGAGTTCTAACATCTTAGAAATGCATGGTAGGAAGATCTCTAGTCAAATCTGTACGTAGATAGGAAGAAGCTTTCTTCAAAAAGACTTTCATTAGGGAGAAGAGTTTAATCTCAGAAATGTATACAGGAGTCTGAAAATCAAACAGAAAAAAACTTTTTTTTTTTTTTTTAATGGGGGAAGAGATAAACAGATCTTAGCAGAAGCTTTTATTTTTATTTTTTTTAAGGTTGATTTGTCACTGTGCTGGGTCTTCGTTGCTGCGTGGGCTTTTCTCTACTTGTGGCACGGGGGGCTATTCTTCAGTTGTAGTGTGTGGGCTTCTCATTGAGGTGCCGTCTCTTCTGGAGCAAGAACCCGAGGGTGTTCGGGCTGCAGTAGTTAGAGCTCGTGGGCTCAGTAGTCGTGGCACAGCATGTGGGATCTCCCTGGACCCAGGATTGAACCCGTGCCCCCTGCATTGGTAGGCGAATTCTTAACCACTGGACCACCAGGAAAGCCCTAGCAGAAATTTTTAAGAAGCTGGGCAAGCAAGGAGGCGGGATCGTTGGGGGTTGACAGGAAGCGTGTCTCGCCGTGTCAGCTCATTCTTAGGACAAGCTGAATAGGAGGCATGTTTGGCATTCTGGTACTTGCTCAGTCTGGGGACCAAGCGTAGATTCAGGGGCCTGTGACAGGGGTCAGGGGAAGGCCTGAGAAAGTTTGGTCAAAAGAACACAGAGGGTAAGAAGCAGGCAGCCAAGAACTCTTGATCATCATAACGAACTTCAATAGACTCCCTGGTTTTTGGGAATTTCCCCGAGTTTCCCTACTGGGGTTGAGTCTTAAAGCAGGCTTCCTTACACTGTATATGCTACCACTTCCCCAAATATTCAGACATGAGGAACAAATCTGGTAGTTAAGACCAAAAGCAAAGGACAAGATAAAGGATTATGGAAAGAAAGGATTCCCTGCATTTAGTTTGTGGGGAGCGAGATGACTGAAAGACTTAATAGGATCAAAGTGGGCGTAAAAACTTTCAATCAAATGATTAAGGCTTGCTGAATATAAGTTTGAGAAAAATATAGGTAATACCAATTCACATCCTTGATTTCTTCTCAGACAGTTTCAAGTCTGTAGCTGTTATCATGTTTGTCCCAAATTCCATGTTTCTAATACGTTTCTCTGTTTCCCTTAAGACACAGACACAAAAGGTCTTTTCCCTTTCCTTAAAAGAGTCTGAAAGGCACTATGAGAAAGCCACTGTTCTTGTTCTGATCTCCAAAATTCATTATAAAATTCATTCACTTTTGGTCCGGTTTCTACCTAGAGGTCAAATTTAAGATGACACAAGTAATTGTGTGCAATAAACTGATTTATTCCCTACAGACTTTTCTAGTCCTGGCTACTTTCACTTTAAAGGATAATTTAATTGCTCATGTTTTTGCCAGTTATCTTTTATTATTATTATTTCTGTTTTACTCATTATTTCAAAATAAAGAATTGAAAGATTTTAATGTTTTTTTTTAATGACTGAATTTAGATTACATGCACTGGTTATAGTGTAATTAATCAGTCTATAAATTCTAATTCAGTCACTTAAGAAAAAAATCTTTCTATTGGAAAAATTGGTTTTAAGCTGAGCTCCAGTACCCCTATTTGCCTAATGAGTTATTTGGAGCAACATCTCTCCAATCTTTAGACCCAAGCTATTCATCAGTAGTCAAAGACATTAGAAATGGAGCGATGGTACACCCTAGGGAGTTATCAAATGTAAGCGTAGGTGTTGGTGTGTCTGGGATCTGGAAATGAGTCAGCTGCTGTGGGAGTATCTTTGGCAGGTAATTTTATTTTCCCTGTGGCTAACGATAATTAGTGTGGTAAAGTTCCATGCAAATATGACGTTATAAAGGCTTCAAAATTCAGGTTAAGCATTCATTCATTCTTTCATTCTAAAGAAAAGCTAGGAGTGGGGAGGAGGAGAGTGGTGTGGTTACCCAACAAGAATCTTTTTAATAACTGTATTACTATAGATTAACTCAATTTCTATTAAATGAAACTGAACATTACTTTGCTTTTTTATAACAGTTCGTTGTGCAAGGAACATGCCTGCCTTTTTAGCTGAAAGACTGTACCAAGCTTTGAAGGTTGGTCTGGAAATTTCATTTATATTCTTAGCTTCCTTCAAGGAAAATGTAAAAATATTACTTAATATTGATGGCATTTCCTATTTCTTTTCCATCTTGATAGAGTTCTCTTTTGTAGCTAATCTGTCTACTAATTTGGCTCATAGGTTGATAATGAGTTTCCTAATCATTACAGAGGTAGGTGCACTGAAGTGCTGACTAAATTATTTCTCCCACTTCACAGTAATGTAGGCAGTTGATTGGTTTTAGGACAACAGCCCTCAAACGTAATCCAGTGGCCTCTCAAGCTGTCTTGCTTAAATCACACTGAGCTAGCAGCCTTTCATGATGTAGAAAGCCTGTATTTTCTCATCTGCTGTCACTTCTAGATGGGGAGCTCTGTGAATCTGTTCAGTTCTTTCTCGTTTATATCTTCAGACCCTCATAGTGAGCCTGGCATGCAGAAGAAGAAGTCCATGTGTCTTTCCAAAGCTGTGTCCACAGTAAGCACAGCACTGTCGTCCCCTCCCATCCCAGCCTTGCTCCGCATCCTGCCTTCGGTCATTTCAGCGGATAACACCAGTAGGAACTAGCCTCGCCCAACTCACTGAAGTTATACCTTTCCTCCCCAGCCTTGTTCTCTACAACTCAGCACATCGGCCTTCTTTCTGTTCCATGATTACTCCAAGCGTCTTCCCGTGTCAAGGTCTTGGCTTTTGTCGGGCTCTCTGCCTGGGGTGTCTCTCCTCAAGATCTATCTATGGCTACCTCCTTCTGATCGCTGAGGTCTCAGCTCATGTGTGTCCTCCTGAGAGAGGTCTTCCCTGTCTACCCAGGTCAAATGACTTCCTTTCATTCGCGCTCCATCCCATCGTTCTCCATACCATTAACTTACTGTCCTTACTGTCCACCTCCATCAGTGAGAACTCCATGAGAGTGTGTCCTGTAAGCATTTGTGGTGCTCTGTAAGCATTTGTTGAACGAATAAATGAATAGTGTCAATATCCACCTAACTGCTTAGCTAGAAATTCTATACTTCTCTCTCCCTCTTTCTTCTCAAACATCATTGTCAGTCTACCTTTACAAGCATATCTTAAATCTTATCAATTTTCTCCATCCCTACTACCATTATTGTAGGTCAGGCCATCAACATCTCTTTCTCTCCTCCCTTCTCGGTTATATAATCACTTCTGGATGGATCTCAAAGCTTCCAGTCTTATTCTATCATCTTCATCCTACTCTTTTCCTGAAATCCATTCTTCATACTGCTGCTGTCAAAGGAAACTTCTGAAACTACAAATCTGATCTGATCTCAACACACTCATTTTTAACAGACTGCAAATAGTTCTTCACACTCAGGATGAAGTCAGAATTTCATTTCATGGTTTATAAGGTCTGGCCTTTCCAGATATATTTCTTGCTGTTCCTTCTTATTGCTTATGTATCCTTAAATGTGGTGTTATTTCTTGCCCTAAAGTGTCACGTATGCTGTTTCTTATATTGAAACACTTTTTTTTTTCTCTCCATAAGAACTTCATTCCTTCTTCTCCTGGCTGACTATTTAGGCCCCAGCTTAAATCCCACTTCCTTAAACAGTCCTTTACTAATCTTTGATTAGCATATGGTAGGACTCCCTAACTATATGTTCCCATAGTACCCAATACTTCCCATATGTCAGATTTTATTGTAATGGCCCATTTTCTCACCTGTATCCTTTACAAAACTGAAAGCATAACAGGGGTGTTTCATATCTGTTTTCAGCATTTAGCAATGCAGTGGCAGAAAATGTTTCTTGAATAAGTGGATGAGGATGTTTGATGAAAAATGAGAGGAGAGTCACTGTGGTTGAATAGTTTGTGTACCATTATCAGTGTCTCATGAATAGAGATCCACTTGTTGTTTTGTGAGCTATGAGATTGGTCACATGGACACTTCCATTTCTTAACAGGGTGCCGGGACTGACGAGTTTACTGTGAACCGAATAATGGTTTCCAGATCAGAAATTGACCTTCTGGATATTCGAGCAGAGTTTAAGAAGCTTTCTGGCTACTCCCTGTATTCAGCAATTAAAGTAAGTCTCTTCTTAAAAATAGCAAAACATATCTTGCCTCTCTCTACCCGTCATCTTTCCCTTATAATCCTCAAAACATGGAAATTCATGACTTAGGTTTCTCTCTCCTTGTCAGTGTGTAAGTGTGTTTTCTGAGTTATTTGTCGGCCATAAAAAGGAGTGAATTTGAGTCGGTGGTGATGTGGATGAATCTGGAGTCTGTCGTACAGAGTGGAGTAAGTCAGAAAGAGAAAAACAAGTGTCATGTATTAATGTGTAAATATGGAATCTAGAAAAATGGTGCTGCTGGACCTATTTTTCCAGGCAGGAATAGAGATACAGAGGTAGAGAATGGGCTTGTGGCCACCAGGGGGGAAGGAGAGGGTGGAACAAATTGGGAGAGTAGCATTGACATACATACACTTCTTGGGTGAAATAGCTAGTGGGAAGCTGCTGGGTGGCACATGGTGCTCAGCTCGGTGCTCTGTGATGACCCAGATGGATGGCATGGGGATGGGTGGGAGGTCCTTTTCAGAGGAAGGCTGTATGTGTATACATATGACTGATTCATGTTTTGTATAGTGGAAACAAACACAACATTGTAAAGCAATTCTATTCCAACCTAAAGATTAAAAAAAAAAGAAAGAAACCTCAAAAAAAGAGTGACAAAATATTTCTTAAAAATAGTAATTATTTTTCAGCTCTAAATTCCTAGGTACATAAAAGGCACTCAACATTTTATTTTTTTCAGGTTTAGTGGCCACTGGTTTTTCTTCTTTTGTGAATTGCATATGCAAATTGCTTACCTGTTTTCTTATATTGCACTGGTTTAATTTATTTCCGTTATTCTTTCTGGCAGTAGAACCAAAGTATGTATTTTACATTTGTTGTTCAGTTGCTAGCCATGTCCAACTCTCTGTGACCCCATGGATGGCGGCACCCCAGGCTTCCCTGTCCATCACCAGCTCCAAAGACAGAGAATTTTGGTAAATGTTATCAGTTGACTTCCACTACACCTCAATTAGTCAACTAGATTTGTTCACCAAAATCATTTGTATTTTTTTTTTAATGAGACCTGTTGTTTTTGTACTAAACCTTTGCAGGAAAAGATACATGCTTAAGTTGAAAAAGAAAATTTATTCGAAAAGGCAACTGTCCGGTTGCGCCTGGGGCTTAACACAGATTTCATCAACTGCTCACACTCAATGCAATTTGAATCGATTCTGACACATTACAATAGTTTCAATCAACAGAAGAAGATACAATAATGTTAACTAAATTGTACTTACCAAGGCAGAAAAGGAGACACATACATTCTATAAAGATTTCCAGTAACAAGGTTGAAACATGAAGAGGTCCTTTGGTTCACCCTTGGCAAACCAGAAAATTCAATTAACTTGTAGCTCTCCCTCTCCAGATGGCCTGGGTAATTGAGGATTATTGTATTAGGAAACATGTAAGCAATGTGTATCTTGATAGAAAAGGAAAATCCATTGCTGAAGAGTTCGGTGTGTAATTTAAAATTATCTTAGGTTTCTTCATTTCTGTTGCCTAACATAGATTATTAAGTAATTTAATTACATTTTCAATATTGATGAATAGAATCTTTTTGTCTATCATCCCTGCCTTGGTTTCTGAATTTCTCTTCCTTCTGCCTTTAATTTAGACATTTCTCTGCTCATTAACACGTTTCTCAGGTGATGATTGGAGGGGAGAAGAGGAAGAAAGTAGGTGAAAAACAAATGTGTGTCTCTTAATACTAAGACGTTTTAAAAAATTGGATGAAATTAGTTTTTGGTAGATTTTCTTGATCAACAAATTAAGAATCTGTCTAAAAAATAACTTGATTCCAGAGTCTTTAAGGGAAAATGTAGTGGCTATCCTCTGTTAGTTCCTGACTTATGTGTAGACTTGTGAAGTGAAGTTGCTCAGTCGTGTCTGACTCTTTGCGACCCTGTGGACTGTAGCCTACCAGGCTCCTCCGTCGATGGGATTCTCCAGGGAAGAATACTGGAGTGGGTTGCCATTTCCTTCTCCAGGGGATCTTCCTGACCCAGGGATCGAACCCAGGTCTCCTGCATTGCAGGCAAATGCTTTAACCTCTGAGCCACGAAGTGGACATAAATAAAGCAATTTCAAGATAATAATCATACTTCATATTGGTACTGCTTGCTAAAATGTCAGATTGTAAGTGCAAAGAAATTTGAAAAAAGGATAAAGTAGGCTGACAAAATAATGTGAAACAGTATAAAATGAAATCTTAGATGTGGGGTATAGAGGAGTAATAGAGGGATTGAGAGAGATGTTTGGGATTAGATAGAGACTGTTCCCAGGTGGCACTGTGTGTGTGTTCAGTCGCTCAATTGTGTTCAGTTCTTTGCAGCCCCACGGACAGAAGCCCGCCAGGCTCCTCGGTCCATGAAATTTTCCAGGCAAGAATACTGGAGTCTGTTGCCATTTCCTACTCTAGGGGATCTTCCCGACTGAGAGATGGAACCCACGTCTCTTCCATTGGTATGCGAGTTTCAGGTGGCGCTAGGGGTAAAGAACCCACCTGCACGTGCAGGTTCCATCCCTGGGTTGGGAAGATCCCCAGGAGGAGGGCATGGAAACCCACTCCAGTATTCTTGCCTGGAGAATTCCATGGACAGAGGAGCCTGGCGGGGTACAGTCTGTATAGTCACAAAGAGTCAAACACAACTGAAGCGACTCAGCACACGGCACTTTTCTTAGGGAAGTGAGTCTGGAGCTTACCTTTCAGGCTAATAAGCATGTATTGAGTGCCTTATGAGCCTGGTGCTATGCTGGTCAATAGAGTCTGAAAGGTGAGTGCTCTAGAAACATATGTTTGATGAGAAGTAGAAGGATAAGTACCCACTCCAGGGTTCTTGCCTGGAGAATCCCAGGTGGGATTCTGGTGGAGCCTGGTGGGCTGCCGTCTACGGGGTCACACAGAGTCGGACACAACTGAAGCGACTTAGCAGCAGCAGCAGTTGCAGTATTAATAAGGTGCTTAATTGATTAGGAGCCTACCTTGGGAATATGGAAAAATACAATCTCAGTGGCAAGATCCATTCAGTTGAAAGAGAGCCTTGAGAACAGGAAATTTGTATTCCATTCATTCAATTTAAAATACTTACTGAACGTATATTAGGTGCGAGGCTCAGGGTTACAATTATAAGTAAAGAAAAAAAGTTTTCTGCCCTTATGGAATTAGAAATAAATATAAAATTACAGCCATGTTCGATGTAAAGCAAAGAGAGATTGTGCTATAAGATCACATAACAGGAGGGTTTGACCTACAGGAAGGTTTTGATTCAGATCTGAAAATGATTAGACTTAACAAGGCAAAGGTTGTGGGGGTCAGAATTCAGCAGAGCATTCTAACAAAAGGAATCATGAGTGGAAAGACCTCGTGGTGGAAGAAACATAATGAAGAATGAGGCTGGAGGGACTGGATCATGCAGGGCCTTTTTGGCAACATTTAAAGATTTGTCTTTTGCCTAAGAGTGATGGAAAGCCATTGACGTGTTTAAATTTTAAGCACATAGTGTCATGACCAGAAGTACGTTTAGAAAAGATCTCGTGACTTTGGAGAATGAATTGGACATAAGATAGAAGGGATGTGGGGTGATGGGTTACTGTATTAGTCATATTGGAGTAGCTCTGATTCAAAATAGTGATGCAGAGCTACTGCTAATACAAAGAGGGGGAAAAGCAAAGACTCAAAAGATACTTAGGAGTTAAAACTTCAAATGACTCCATATGACATCTTGTGAAAAGAAAGGAGAAGGAGTTGAGGATGACTTGAGGTGTCTGGGGCTTCCTGCGTGGCTCAGCGGTAAGGAATCCACCTGTAATGCAGGAGCTGCAGGAGACACGGGTTCGATCCCTAGGTTGGGAAGATCCCCTGGAGGAGGGCACGACCACCCACTCCAGTATTCTTGCCTGGAGAATCCCATGGACAGAGGAGCCTGGCAGGGGTACAGTCCATAGGATCGCAAAGAGTTAGGCACAACTGAAGTGATTTAGCACACACACTCCTTTCCTTACAAGTAGATCAGGTTTTCAGTGGTTTTTTTTTTCCCTTTGGGAGGAGTCAGGGAGAAAATTCCACATGTTAAGTTCGAGATGTCTTTTGTCGACTTAAAAACAAACGCATAGCGTGACAGTTGCGAGTTATGTTTTATTTGGGGCAAAGTGAGGACCGCAGCCCAGAGAATCTCACCTCAGATAGCTCTGAGGAACTACTCCAAAGAGGTGGAGGTGGGGAAGGTCAATATCTATGTGATTTTGGTTAAGGGGAAGTTCATGGAATCAAGCGCTTATTTTACAAAAGGTTTTCTGCTAGTCATGAGGAACTGATGTCCCCATGAAGGGATTTAGTGATTTTCTAGATATGAGGAAATACATGGATTGGGTTCATAAAATCAGTTCTTAAAAATGTCTGTCCGAAAACCTGTTCTGCTAGTTTTCCCAGAGCACAGTGGCTTCTTCCTGACCTCCACCCTGAACTTCTTCCAGGGGATGTTGAAGGACAGCAGCTGCAGCAGCATGTGATTTAAGCCTTGGAGAGGTAGACAGCAAATGCCCATGACAAGTTACAATTTGTAATTAACACTTCAAAACATGCAAATAGAGATGGCGAGTTGTAGCTAGTGGTATGGGATATATTTTCAGGAATAATTATGTCACTGAATCTTTGGACATGCATGCAAATTCTCTAGGAAGAAAATATAGATTAAGAGAAAATGTAATACGAATTTTAAGTGATAAATTGGGATTTAAGCATTACTAGCAGTGACTGGCTAAAGAGTGGAGGATGAGTCTACAAAGAAGACAGGAGTGGAGATGGCAGAGAGGAAGAAAGAAAAGTCAGAACTACTTACAGGATAAGAGAGGGCTGCTTGCTTAATGGGTATGATGGTCATTGAACCCATTTCCCAAAACAAGAAGCATTAACACCTTGGAAGATACGCATTGAGAATCCAAGGAAACTAATGACAAGAGATGAGAGCCTAGAATAGATTTGTTGTGGTTAGAATGGAAAAAGATTGGGAGAGGAGAGAATCACTGTTAAAAATAGGCCAACAGAAACATTTAGTTTCTTAAGAACAATTAATATGGCCAATTAGGAAACTGTAAATTATGTTTAAAGGTTTTGAAAATACATTGGGATTTTGGGGTAACAATTTTTAAAACTCCGTAAAATAGAATTGTTTATTCATAAAAAGGACTTCGCCTTCCAATATAGAGGATTTGAGTTTGATCCCTGATGAGGGAGCTAAGATCTCACATGCCTGGTGGCCAAAAAAACAAAGCATAAGATAGAAACAATATTGTAACAGGTTCAATAAAGACTTTAAAAGTGGTCCACATCAAGAAAAATCTTTTTTAAAAGAATAACTTTTCCTGCAAGACATAAAGGAATAAAGGTAGGAGAAAAGGATGAACATTTATTGTCTACAGTGGATCAAAATTGTTTGTTTAGTTCTGTGTTAAACCACTTGGATGTATTTTCTCAGCTAACTAATAGAACCCCTGATACTTGTTTACAACTTTGATCAGAGATGGCTAGAGGGAGCTGTTTTAATACAAAGCCAGAGCATTGCTGACTTGTCAGTGAGTCAAGAGATCATTATATAGGGCAAAGCAAGACTTAAAAACTTAAATTTATATAAAACAGAAGAATGTGTATTAAGGCCTGTTGTGTCTTATTATGAAAGCAATGCTTAATCTCGTCTCTAAATGACCCTTCTTCATTGCTTCCTCTACCTTACACTAACTACAATATAAATTTTAAGTGATAAGAAGTTGCCTTGCATCAAATAATGTGAGGATTTTAAGCAATTTTGGTCAAAAGCCAAGTTTTATCACAGATGCGATGCAAACATTTTGCCTCTGTTACATAACAAACATGACAACTTGTACTTTAAGCCTCAGTCTCCCTGATGGCTCAGTGATAAGGAATCTGCTTGCCAATGCAGGAGATGCAGGAGGCACAGGTTTGATCCTGGGGCCGGGAAGATCCCCTGGAATAGGAAATGGCAACCCACTCTAGTATTCTTGCCTGGAGAATTCCATGGACAGAGAAGTCTGGTGGGCTACAGTCCATGGGGTCACAAAGAGTTGGACACAAATGGGCAACTGAACACAGCACACACATGGTATCTTTTCTGAACCAAGATCTTTTCTGCCTATCCTAGGAGAGAGGAACTGGGAAACACTTTATAGGAAAGTAGTTCATTTCACTTTCTTAAGTCAGGAAGTATAGAATGGGGTTAATCAGCCAGGTTAACTGGCTCTGAATTCTGATTCTGCGCTTGTTCTCTATATAATCTGGGATAAATATCCTAACCTCTGTCTCTCTCATTTTACTTCTTGGTTAAGTGGAGATAGTTGTGGTACCTACCACACAGCTGTTGTAAGGGTTAAAGTAGTTAACCTTTAGAAGAGCAAGTGTTTCATAAGCATTAATATAAATATAATAAAATCATATTTTTTTAAAGTTTTGTTAAAAACTTAAAAGAAAATTAAGCTTATGTAATATTATGCAATTGATGTACTCTTTTTTTTTTAAAAAAATCCGAGTTGACATTTAACCACAATATATCCCGCAGAATTTAAGTATTATATATTGTAAAGAAGATGCTAGGCTGGAACGTGATTTCCCACAGATATGACTGGATGGTGGAATTGCAGGTGCATGTTACTCAATGGTACAGGTCATGAGCTTCCCATGCCGGTGACTCCCCTAGCGCTGTGGGATTTGACTCATCCATTGTTCCCTCATTATTTATGCTGTGTCTCTCCTTCTCTCCACCTGTCCTGTTCCTTGCAGTCGGATACTTCTGGAGACTATGAGAGCACACTCTTAAAGATCTGTGGAGGAGATGATTGAGTCAAGAACATCCTTTCCAGAGGCTGCCTGCTCCCATGATGGGCATTCTCCTCAGCTCTGCTTACTCCTTTTTCACGGTATTTACAAGCACAAGCAAGTGTCCACAATAACCTGTTTTTAGCAGAAATTCTCATTGTTCCATAATAATAACAACCACAAAAAGTGATTATTGTCATAGAACGTCTCATCATAATGTAGCCACTTATAAATGAAATTTTTAAATGAAATTAAAGATCTGCTAATACTATCCAAATTGCGTTCCTGCTTTGGAAGTGAGAATCTATGTATAGTTCTAAAGCACTCAATGCCAAACAGTGTAATAAAAGTTGCTGCCTATGTAAAAGGTGATCTGTCTGCTAGTTTTTAATCATCTGCCAGCATTGTCTGGTACCTGGCACCAATGACTAAAGATATTTTTTTTTTTCATTTATTTTTATTAGTTGGAGGCTAATTACTTTACATCATTGCAGTGGGTTTTGTCATACATTGAAATGAATTAGCCATGGATTTACATGTATTCCCCATCCCGGTCCCCCCTCCCACCTCCCTCTAAAGATATTTTAAAATGTGTTTTTGTTGTAAAAGCTGTGGTTGCTTCAATTTATCTATTGTCTTATTGATCATATTCATCTTTAAGAAAGAAATAAAAATGAAGATCTATGTAATCCTGGCCTCCCTTTTCTTGTTTAATCAAGCTGGAGGAGTGGCAATGCATAAGAAGTTACTTTAGCCCTCAGAAAACACCCACTAAACTATTGATCTAACCACTGCCCATCTGAATAACAAACATGACTTGTGGTGGTTTCATGCCAAATACTACTTTCCCAGAATGGGTATTTAGAATCAAGTTTCTTAGGTATATTTTTCCTCTAAAATAAGTTTGCAGGACTACACACTTTTAGAAATCTTTTATGTTATTTCTGAAAGGGACCTAAGATGAAATACTGAAAGGAAATATATAAGGTACGAAGTTCTAGTTAAGAGTTATGAACCTGGGCAGAAATAGAAATGATAGATGTGTGAAAAATAGAAAGAGTGATGGGTGAGTTCAGAACTTTTAATCAGTGGATTCCACACTTCAGCATTTCTGAGACCTTACAAAAAGATGGCGAAGAAGTTACTTCTTGTCCTGAGATTTCCAAAAATGCATATGGGAATAAAGCACGGGGATTTAGAATCTACATGCCAAGTTTTGACATCCTGCCTTAGGAAGTGAAAGTGAAAGCCACTCAGTCATATCCAACTCTTTGCAACCCCATGGACTATACAGTCCAACCAGAATACTGGAGTCGGTAGCCTTTCCCTTCTCCAGGGGATCTTCTCAACCCAGGGGTCGAACCCAGATCTCCCACATTGTTCTTTTCCAGCTGAGCCACAAGGGAAGCCCAAGAATACTGGAGTGGGGAGCCTAGCCCTTCTCCAGGGAATCTTCCTGACCCAGGAATCGAACCGGGGTCTCCTGCATTGCTAGCAGATTCTTTACCTACTGAGCTTCCTACCTTACCATACAGCCCATAAATAAGTATTAAAAAAATAAGATGGTGATGATTATAGCACTTACTTCTTTCCTAGGTTTAGGTAAAATAATGCCTGTGAGGCACTTAGCCCTATGCCTGAACTTCACACGTGTTCAGTGACTGCGTTATCATTTACTATTAGCAAGCAGCATCAAAATGATCCTGACAGCATTGCAGCTATTCTTCAACAGATTTCAGTTCATCTATTACGTGCCATTCCCTGTGCTAAGTAAGTGTTGGATACTCCAGAAGAGCTAAGACTCATTTACTTTGGCCAGAGAGCTTTAAAATCTGTTTAGGGAGAGAGACCGATGTGGGTGGGGCTTAGCATACGGGAGGAGGTGACCAGCGACAAGGGCTAGACTATGAAGGCCTCACAGACTTAAAGAATTTACGAGCAAGGGAGAGTCATGGAAGGAGCATTCCAGGAGGATTTCAATCAGGGAAATGATGTCAAATTTTTGATCAAGGAGGAAGAATATGTGGGAGAAGAAAGCTAAAGGCGGGGAGCCCACTTGGCAAATTAGCTCTTTAATCAATATAGAAGTGTTCGCCTGAGCTAAGAGAATGACAAGGGAGAAAAGGAAGAAAAAATACACTCATTTAAGTATTTAGAAGATAAATACTTCTAAAAATTGATAGAACACAGAAATCAAAAGAGTCAGGTGTCATGTATGTCCTCACAATTTTGGCTTAAGTGAGTAAGTGTATCACTGAGCAATAAATCATTGCTAATATGCATCGAGTGCTTATTGTATAACTGTATTAAACAGTGTAGTATATATTAAATCATTCATCCTCAAGGAACTTTCCAATGTAGGCATTAACTCAAAGACACAGGAACAGAAGCTGAGAGAAATCAAGTACGTTGCCCATTGGAAGAGACAAGATTTAAACACAAGCAGTCCAACTCAACCGTGTCCAGGCCATTAACCACTATTTTCCCTTACTAATTATCCCATTCTAAGGCCACTGTCCTTTTCAACCTTAGAACTTAGCTGTTTGAATGAAGGGATTTTTGTCTGCTGCCTTCTCTGCTGTATCCCTAGTGTTTAGAACATACACACACTCTATTGGGTGTTTATAGAAGTTTCATCACATAGGCTTGATCATTCATTAAGTCCATTTTCAGCCCTTTTCCCTTCTTAGGAATTTGAGGGACCGGGCTGAAAATTCCAGACCTCTAATCATGGCTTGTTCTTTCCAATGACCAGCCCTCATCCAGGGGTCCAACCAGAGCTGCCTCTTTAGCAAAGACGAAATATTAGGACAAAAGATCCTCCTAGTGTTCTTATCACTTAGAAAATTACAAGGGTTTTAAGAGCTCTGTGCCAGGAATGAGGGGGGCAGAGACCAATATATGATGTTTTCTGTTATCTCACCAGGGATTCCCTGTGTACTTCTTCATAAACCACTGTGACTGCCAATGTAAATGTTATCCCTCTCTAAATTTCTAGCCCAGTTCCCTAGTCATAGTAAGCATGTGACCAGTTTTAATGACAATGATTTGTAAAGTGGGATAGTAGATCTTTCCTATCGTTTGTACCGGGTTGATGTAAGGAGCACATGAAACAATGATTGGAGCTACCATGAAAAGTATTACATGTGATTCAAATGTGATGTGAAATTGTAGACTTAATATTAAAAGAATCAATTTTTGTTGTGTATATGAATCAAGGGCTTACTAGGTACTGAGTACAGTGCTAGATCTTTTAGATCTCATTTATTCTTGGAGCAAGGTCATATGTGTCATTATCCCCATTTACAGATGAAGAAGATGAGACTCGGAAAGTATTTACTTGCATGCATGCTGCATGCTAAGTTGCTTCAGTCCTGTCCAACTCTGCGACCCTATGGACTATAGCCTGTCAGCCTCCTCTGTCCATGGGACTACTAGCCCAAAGTTACACAGCAGGGAAACCCTTGGTTTCCCAATACAGATGGTATTTGTGCATGAGTGCGTATGAAGAAAGATAAGAACATGAAGGGAGTGGTGATCACTGGACAGAATACTGCAAAAAGAAGGGAACACTGAGATAAGGAAAAATTCCAGGGAAAGCTCTCCTCTCACCCTCTGACTTCCTGTGCATTGGGCCAGCTGTTAGCTGATGGATTCTGATGATTCTGATAGAACATGGTTATCTCAAGACCCAGGGTTATTGTTAGTGACCCTTCCAAAGAACTGTGACATTTATCTTTAAATATTTAACACATGTTTAAATACGTGAAAATGAGAAGGGCTATATATGGCCCAGGGCAGTGCCTGGTTTAGTGCATGAGCCCTGGGGTCACAGTGCCCCCATCTGTGACTGTAGGCCGATTACCTCGCTGAGTCACACATTCCTCACCCTTAAAATCGGGACAATAATAGTTCCTACCTCGTAAAGTTATTCTAATAATTAAGTGAGAAAACATTTAAAAGCTATTTTGCATAGTCCCTGGCATGTGGTAAGCCCTCAATAAATGTTAGCCCAGGTCATGTTATTATCATCCAAGGGCCATGTTTTTTTATTGCCTCCAATTTCCACAAGGTGGCAGGTCGAGTTCAAAGTGGACCCCGTGGCTCTGAGTCCCAAAGGCAAAACCTATTTTAATTGCTCCACAATAACGGGGCCCAAAATGAATTGTTCGAAAACATGTTCATTGTCTGTAGAATGTTTGTTACCATCCAGACATCTTATTGTTGCTGTAAAACCCATCTTAATGGAACATATGTATCATTTAATTTCATCCTGTTGTTTCTCAAGATTCCCAGGACCATTTGCATTTACATGAAATGCATATTAACTCTTACAGGGGTCTTTCAGCTAAGTGAGTATGTTCAAGTCATCTCATTGCGCGCTGTTTAGTCCCTGAAAGGCTGTGAAAAGGAGAAAGCTAGCAAGCTGGAACGAGTCTTGGTCTCAGTGAACTGCAGAAGGCAGGAGATTTGTGCACTTCGTCCTGGAGTGAGAGGGTGCTTGGTCTATTTGTGAGGAGCTACCATAAAATGACAAATGGAGATTTTGAATAGGGGCGTGTCTAACCTATTTGTAAGAGCATATTGAGAGCTCACACAATTTCAGACTTTTCTTCTGTGTGTCCTCTCCTTTTTCCTTTCTCCTAATTTCATGTCATATTGATAGCCTCCAATTTCTACAATTTGGCTTCATCTTTGACACATTGGTTTTGGGGTCAGGTCAAACTGGGTCCAAATCCTGTCTCTGCTACTCATTATAGCAGTGTTTACAACAGTAAGGATGTGACAAACACTTAGCTTCTTTATACCTCAATTCTTTCCCACCCCGTCCCCCGCCCCCTTTGGCTGCTCTGGGTCTTTGTAGCTGCGCACAGGCTCTTTGTTGCAACGTGCGGGAGTTCTCTAGTTGCTCTTTGTTGCTCCTCTCTAGGTTGCCCTGTGCCTCCGGCTGCAGTGGTGTGTGGTTGCAGGTTGCAGTGGTGCTTGGGCCCTCATCGCAGCAGCTTCTCTGGTTGTGCATGGGC